TAATGTGCGTGACCGCAAAAGTGAAGATAGAAATACTCCCTCGCTTTAGTGCTACAAAGACAACAATAGCGTATGGTTTTATAATATAACTTGCAGCTGCTAGGTATGAGTGCTGAAGGTTTGGAAATGATGGGAGCAACAGTTCCTGAATTAGCTGTCTGCATGTAAAATTTTAGAGTTTATTCAATTTGACAACCTTTGAACCTAACCTAGGGTCACCAAATTTTCCACTGCAAGCAATAATACTAAGTGTGGCACATCCAATGGGGAAGATTTCACGGCGATCGGTGCAGTAGGCTCTGAGATCTGAGTTGTCTGTATTTGCGTGTACAATTTTTCCTTCGCGTTTTCGAGGTGTTTGACTTCAGGTCAGGTCTCGATATTGCCTCCCATGACTCACCTTATTGTACGGAACCGATTGGTGAAGGTTTAGAGGCGATCGGACGAGCTGTTTTGTAGAACGTGCGTGTCTGCCACATATGCCGGTTTTTATACCCTGCCTCTTAAGACACTCGCTGCATTTCATCAGGCCCAGTATTCCCTTCTTCGTTTATATGCATTGAGGGGAGGGGGGGGGGGGGTGACTCCAAAGAGCATTGAAGAGGCTCAATTCAGTGTTGGTGGGGAAGAGGAGGGCCTCATGCACCTCGAACGCACTGCAAAGTAACATCCCTGATAGACTCGCTCCGCCCTGTCCATCGAGCAGAGTCCAGGTGGCGTAACCCAACTTTTCACATCTCCCCGTATCATACGTGCATTTAATTTTGTATGCATGATTTTGCCCGCTCTAAAACCGTAAAAACCACACTTCGGCCAAAATATGCAATATGAAAGCTGTTGGGAGCTGTCAGCATGACAGCAAAGTCAACGAAATCCACGCATTTCGCTTTGATGGTACCCGGAATTCCGCCGGCCAAAATATTCCTCCCCCAGTGGTTTGCTCTTAAAACAGGCCGTGCATCAACGTGAAGTCACATTCCTCATAATATACCTTTTTACGAGGTACACCTTATGCCAGCAAATTCCATTGCCAAACTTTTAACTGAGTACTTGAGAGGATACAAATATGTCTAGAGGTCAACTTTTGGTAAAAACAGCATTGCTGACGTTCGCCCACCTCCTGCACATAATAAACAACCTCACGCTAATGTTCATCCCCTGCATTGTCACAAGCCAGGCACGTCTGTCACCGTGTTTAACAGTTTGTCTGGTGTACAAAGATTCCCTTTATGCAGAATCGCATGCAAATCCAGCGGTATGGCAGCGTGTCTCCTTTTAATAGGGTCATACCATTGTCCTACAGCGTGAGAAATTGGTGGTGAATAGACCGTCCAAAAATCATGTGACGCATTTCTGGCCATTTTCGACGAACATTACGCTTTCCTCGTTTTAGTTTATTACGTTTTGGAGGGAAACGCACATTTGTGGAAAACACTACGGCGTTTTTCCTTCCGTTCATGTGCTTCTGACTCTTCTCACCTTGTTTTTGTCCACCACATTGTCTCGGTTCTCGTTAGCCACAGCACCAAAGTCAACCAGCAGTGCTGAATCCATTGCAGCCGCAATCACAATCGCTAGCCCTCCAAGCTACGCTGAACCGAAGGGATCTTCGCGTCCTGCAGTGCATCATCTGTGATGCCAATACCGTGTGACATTTTGTAGCCATTTCATGCCCGATTCATTCCTTGCTTTTCGTTTCGCTGATTTTCTTTCTATGTTTTGTATTATGTGTTATTCTGGTTTTTCCCTTTTAAGTATTTTCCTCTCAAAGTTTCAGGATTTCTCTTCTGCTCAGGGGTGCAGCCAGAGTATTGGGATTGGGGGAGGGCACAGAATTGACAAAGGGCTTATTGCCGTTGAAAGCCCCCTCCCCAAAAAAGGTATCGGATATGACCCACTTGATTTGAAGAGGCGTACAATTTGTCTTTGTCGAATTTTAGAATTTTCCTTCCAGAAACAGAAGCCAGAAGACACCAAAAGATGCAATTTTGTTTGCATTTTGAAGGCAATATACTGAAGGGACCAGGAGTTAAATAAATACATAAAATAAATCATCGGCATTGTTAGCTTTACATTCGGTCAGTGAACTTTTTCTTTATATAGTATAGTTCTGACCATGCCCGCTCGCAAGTTTTAGAATCCAACAAGTAAGACCTGTCGGCCTTTGGCCAACGACATGGAAGCACCCTTTGGCTGACTTGCTCCTCCGCACGCGCCACCTGCTGACCCCGCCGGCATGAAACCCGCCATGGCACGTCGTCTCTCGCCAACGTTTCTCTTTCACCTGATCAATCCTCTAGCTGCGTTGTAGCTCCTACCCCTGTCCCTCTGCCTGTGCCGTCCTCCATCTGCGGCGCGACCCCTACTCCAGACTCCTCTTTCGACCCTTCCGTCCGCACCGAAGAACGAACGGAAAATAAATTGTATACCGCTGACCGTCGGCGATCGCAGCGCGACAATCTCCAGTCTTTCGCCCGCGCCAAGTGAATGAACGGCAGAAGAATACGCACGTGGGTTTTCCTACGACGTTTTACTTGAATTCTCGGCGGCGGCGACCGGGCGATCAATCGGTGGCATTTCGACGTCGCGAAAAAAAGCGATATCGTAGCCTTTTAGGTAAAGTGGACGTTTAAGCGAAAAAGTGCATATGGTGAGCGAAAAATAGGGTAGCAATTGGAGCCAATGAATCCGCGCGTGCGGTGATGTGAATTTCGCCGCGATCGTGGCGACGGTTTCGACGACGGCGTGTTGCATTGGGCCCCGTTTTTCCAAATCCCGACATGCCCGGCTTGCTCGCCGATTACCGGCGCAACGGAGCTTCGCGCAGTCTCGTGTCGCCCACGTGAAATGTGGACAGTACATGGGTCGACGCGTTGAAATTGGATTCACCCTCCATCGGCTCCGTTTGCCGAGATGTGGCGTAAAACGTGAAAAACGGTCGAAAACGGGAAAATCTGTCTTCGCCGCCGCTGCGCACGTGGCACGTGGCACGTACGCCAAACGTGACATCACGCGATTCCCTGTTGGATTTTCTGTCGAAGGTGCTGATTTTGCGTCGCTCCGACCGCCGGTTGCCGCGATGCGGCCGCTGCTTTGAACGGCCGCTCGCCGATTTTCGTCGAGGTCGCTTTTTCGCGCCGCCCATGCTAAACCAATGGGCCAAAAACTCGCATTCAAACACGCGCCACGCGCGACCCGTCGACTCTACCGCTCCGAAACTCGCCTCAACACGTCGTCACGTGCGCACGTGCATCGTGTCAAAATTTCACCTTCAAGCGACTCGCCATTTGACCTCCACCCGTGTCAACGGCAAAAAACGACCCACAGACAGACAGACAGACGCACCCTACCCAAATTACCGCAAAGTCCGGCGTTACAGTCTCCATGAGTTGGGCGTCGTCGGCTACCTGGCAAACATTACAAGCGGCAGCCAACGGGAGAACGAAAATGGTGACGATTCTGAAAAGTATCTCTGAACGCTTTAATACCTCATTTGTACATTAAAAACTCAGTGGTAGCTCGGGAGTAAGCTAACCTGTGTGATTTTTACATTTGTAAAAAGAACGGACTAGCATTTACAACACCGCAAACCGGTGCTGGCACTTGGTGGAGGAACCGGACAAGTAAAGGTGGAATCTATTCGCGTGTTACCGTAGCTATCAATTAGTACACAGAACAATATAAAAATTATGCAGGTAAAACATATGCCTTAGTCTATTCTTCGAATAGTACTAAGTGATTTTGAAGGACTTTGGGAAGCATAACGTAAGTCGTTGCGTGCATTTGCGAGGAACACGATGCATGTAAATAAGGCAGCAATAATAGCCGCATTCCTCGCAGAATATCTAACAGGATGGAGAGATGGATGCATTGATACTTCGGATACATGCCTTTTTTGAAGCGAATATCAGTGGTAAGTTCAAAATTGCCTGCCAATCCTACTCGATTTCTCATGTTGTTTTTTAAACAGCCGCCAAAGTTTGTACATGTCACCCACATTCAGGCGATTAAAGAAGGGCAATTGCCAGCCATTACTATGACACAGTGCATATCTAACTAAGAGTTAGAATGCGCGAAATATACGTGTACGTGTATCTTCCCATTCTCCGCGATACTTTACGAGTAATACGGCTCTTAGCACTGCCTTATTTAAGAGGCGTTATTTACGACGGTCGTTCTCGTACCCAGTATCACGCCTCTCGTTCTTAGATGCAGCGGTCAACGCCTCTCACAGTTCGATGGCAGCTGTACCCCTGCCAGCGGTGTCTCTGCTCATAAGATTGCGAGCGTGCAAGCTCAAAGCATTTTAATGTAACTTGTTTCAAACCTCCTCAGGCAAGCATGGATTGACTATTTTCTTTTTTTCACCTCATTTCGGTCCACCGCAATAAACACTAAGGAGACCCCCTACCTTTGCCAGGGGAGGGGCCCGTGGATAGATCACTACAGGAAACATCAACTTTCCCGGTAAGGGGCTGAAGCCCCATTTCCCCCCCCAGGGATAACTCACCCATCAGTCCTCTTTCCTGAGGTGGAAGGCCCCTTGACCCCAGCAGTTGGCTTCGGATCGACGCAGGGCCCTCATTGACCCAAACACATTCCTTGTCGCCGCAGGGTCCAAAACGTGACAGAGATTCCAGTGCGGGTTAACGGGTCACTTGCTGAAATGGGGTGAAGGGCGTCCGTTCGGCGTTGGGGACCCTGCCTGACACAGATGTTTATCAATGAAGTAGAGATGTTTATCCATCAGGTATGGAGACCAAAAATATCGCGGCCATGATTTGTATAATACACGAAAATCCCACGCCCTGGTGGCAAAAGTGCTCAGGCGAGCGGCACTCAATGCCGCTGACTGTGGCCCACGCGTCGCAGGGGAATTTTTTTAGCGTGCACCAATAATTTAGCAGCTTTTGAGTAGACTGAATGCGCCGCAGACGCTTCGATAAGGAACTGTAGTGAACATACATTTCGAATTATCTTGTGTTGTTGTTACGCCCCCCCCCCCCCCCCCCCGGCCGAGAGGCAGAGGTTGGGCCCGGGATTTTGGGAGGCTGAACTGTGCTTGATCAATAAAAGGTGATACTTTCCTTCTGTCGCAATTTATTTATCGGTATGCAGGCCGCTTGGCGACGACCATGGAGGCGCGCCAGCGGCGCAGTTCCTCATCTTCCTTTCCACGTTCGTCTGCCGATGTGGATTAGTATAGTGGATTTTCTCGTAACTGACGTAAATGCCCTTTAAGTGATAATAGTGATTAATTTTATTTTGCATCACCAGGAGGGGGTATTCTTCAAGTACTTCATCTTTTTAAGAAGAAGAAAAACCCTGGGATATATTACCCATACAATATAATACCCAACCTACCTAATATAATACCCAGAATACCCAGGAGGGTTGGTATTTTTGCACATCCAGGTTAAAAAGCATGCACATCCTAATATTGAGCCCAGTACTTGCCTGACAGGTCAGAGGGGATTGTCCAGGGTCATGACCTAATGACACGGTTGAAGGCGATCATGGACAAACCAACACAGGAAGGCAATAAAGATGTTCTGAACATCTGACTTGCTGACTGTAAGGAGGTCCAATGTGATGAGATTGCACTCATGCCAGACATGTATATGTGCCCTTGCAATGATGCCACTTACCCCTCTGCTGCCTGCATACAATGCTTTGACAATGCTGTTCTTACTGGACATGAGTCTTTGCTGAACATCAGCTGCTGACTTGGTAGAAGCTAGGAAGAAGCTAGGAAGAAGACCTGGTAGAAGCTCAAGGTCTTCACACAGGTCATGGTCCCTTAATATTGTTTTGTGAAATGGGCTGTGAGTAAAGCAAGCAAATGAGCTGCAAATAAAAAATCTGGGAATTTTTTGGCCATTCTCTAAGTGAATTTGAGCCAAGTTGTTAGGATATTGTTGTTTGATTGCTGATTGGTATGAACACAAGATTGTTGTATGGTGTGAACAAGCATTTTCTGCTATAGGCTCAGAATGAAAACATTATTTTGATGAATTGCATAGTCACATTGTATAGAGACTATGACAACCTCTGATGCATCTGATGATTATATTTTTTTGGCATTAAAAGTCTGGCACTTGAATGATGTTTTGTGATAACCAGAGTATACTTGAATAAAAACTTGAATATCCTGATGTCTGCCACCATTAGCTGTGAGTCATCATGCATACTAGTTCTGATACATGTTATAAGAAGCTATTTAAACATGTAAAGTGACTGCAGAGTATTTCAATCCATGTTTGAGATTATCATTGGGGGTATAGGTGATGCAGGTGCAGTTACAATCTCATTATTTTTTATTTGGAGATGGTTAAGGGAACAAAGGATGTCACAAAATCTATGAATGTGCCTGGAGTGTCTCTGTTTATATGGTGCAAAGCCATCCAGAATAATGTCTTCAGTGCTGTACAGCACTGGGAAGTTACACCACAGGACATGGTTAAACCAGTGAAATAGTCAAAATTGCTGTCCAGAAAATAAGTCAATTTATTACACATATGTGCATTTAAAATGGTTACAGAAAGGAACTGTCAAAATACAATTAGTTCCTGTTGGAAGTTTTGAGAGGATAAAATCAAGCACATAATGCTTATCTCCATCATATTTCAGGATGCTAATCTCCAACCTAGGATCTGTGCCAGGGATCCTGCTCCGGCATGGTCCGGACGGTGCACGGCAGCTGCTGAATGGCATGCTGCTCCGGCCCGCGACCATCTTGGGCCTGCACGCCAGACGCCGCGCACTGCACGCCGGCGTGCTGGAAGCAGCGCGAGCGCACGCCGACCGCACGGCGCTGGTGGACGCCTCGGGCTCGCACACGTACGGCCAGCTTCTGGCCGGCGCCGGCCAGGTGGCAGCACTGGTCGCCGGCGCCGTGTCCGAGCCCGGCTCGCGCGTGTGCTTCATGACGCCCAACGGCCACCAGTACGTGGCCATGCAGTGGGGCATCTGGATGTCCGGCAATGTCGGTAAGCTGGACTACAGCTGGGCTGTGGTGATGTTGCAGTGATGTCTCGGTGTTTGGCTGTCCAGTGTAGAAATGTTCGGTAAGCTAGCCTTACAGTCGGGCTTTGGTCATGTTGCAATGATGTCCCAATGTTTGGCTGTCCAGTGTTGAAATGTTCGGTGAGCTGGCTCTATAGCCGGGCTGTGGTCATGTTGCAATGATGTCCCGATGTTTGGCTGTCCAGTGTTGAAATGTTCGGTAAGCTAGCCTTACAGTCGAGCTGTGGTCATGTTGCGATGATGTCCCAATGTTTGGCTGTCCAGTGTTGAAATGTTCGGTGAGCTGGCTCTATAGCCGGGCTCTGGTCATGTTGCGATGATGTCCCGATGTTTGGCTGTCCAGTGTTGAAATGTTCGGTTAGCTGGCCTTACAGCCGGGCTGTGTTCATGGCGCGATGATGTCCCAGTGTTTGGCTGTCCAATGTAGAAATGTTCGGTGAGCTGGCCTTACAGCCGGGCTGTGTTCATGGCGCGATGATGTCCCAGTGTTTGGCTGTCCAATGTAGAAATGTTCGGCGAGCTGGCCTTACAGCCGGGCTGTGGTCATGTTGCGGCGGTGTCCTGGTGTTTGGCTGTCCAGTGTTGAAATTTTCGGTGAGCTGGCCTTACAGCCGGACTGTATTCACGTTGCGGTGGTGTCCCGGTGTTTGGCTGTCCAGTGTTGAAATTTTCGGTGAGCTGGCCTTACAGCCGGACTGTATTCACGTTGCGGTGGTGTCCCGGTGTTTGGCTGTCCAGTGTTGAAATTTTCGGTGAGCTGGCCCTACAGCCGGACTGTATTCACGTTGCGGTGGTGTCCCGGTGTTTGGCTGTCCAGTGTAGAAATGTTCGGTGAGCTGGCCTTACAGCCGGGCTGTGTTCATGTTGTGGCGATGTCCCAGTGTTTAGCTGCTCAGTGCAGAGATGTTCGGTAGCTCACCAACTGTCCCTGGTTTATTTGACGAATACTGACCGCAGTATGCAGAGAGAGGAAAATGTTCAGAAGCATTGGCAAAGGCATGCTACTATGGAACTCAGAACAAGTACAAGTGTTAATCACGCTGGCCCAATGTCTGTCTCGTTTCCACCAGTATTGCATAATCTGTATTTCTTCATGTGGACGGCTTGCTGCATGTTAATCTGAAACTTTCGTATAACACCCAAGAGGCGGCTCACATAACGACATTGACTAGGGATAGATCCAGTGGGCCAGCGAGGCGTCGATTCTACAGCCCCTGATGACCGGGAGGCAGTCCGGGTGTGGAGAGGCCCGCCGCAGCCCGTGACCAGAGCCCCCCCCCTCCGCAGCCCGTGACCAGAGCCCCCCCTCCGCAGCCCGTGACCAGAGCCCCCCCCCCTCCGCAGCCCGTGACCAGAGCCCCCCCCCCCTCCGCAGCCCGTGACCAGAGCCCCCCCCCCCCTCCGCAGCCGTGCCGCTGTGTCGGGTGCACCCATCGGCCCAGCTGCAGTACTGTCTGGAGGACAGCCGGGCGTCGGCCGTGCTCACCACGCCTGAGCTGGCGGCGCGCCTGGAAGCGGCGGCAGCGGGGGCGGCCGGCGGCGTGCCCCTGCTGGTGGCCGAGCCGGGACAGGGGCGGGAGGAGGCGCCCCAGCCGGCACCGGGCGCCGGTGCCGCGACCGACGCCGACGCCGCCGCCATGATCCTGTACACGAGCGGCACCACCGGGCCCCCCAAAGGTACGGCAGCAGCGGAGCGAAAGGGCTGAAGCGGAGGTCTCCTCCGCGTCGGCGACACGTAGGGCTTCTGGGTCTGGGTGCTCTGGACGTGGATGCCGTCGGCATGTCTGATGATGTTATGTGTGCAGAGATAACCTGGCGCAGGGGGTCGTGCAGTGTGTATGGGTGGAGCGATGCGGGTAGTCCGTGACGCCTTATATCAGCAAGTCTCGCACCACCCTTGCCAGTACTCCTTATCAGTTAAGTGTTAGCCCGTTACCTGGTTTATTTGCCTAATCTGTGTGGGGTCTAATACCTGAATGACAGAAGCTGTGAGTATTTGGAGTTGGACGCCCCCGTGTAGCGCCAGGGCCTGATTGTGTCAAGCGCTCAGGATTTGTGATTGTATCAAGCGTGTGTGCGTATTTTTAAGTGAGCCGCTGTTGGGATCTTTCATCGGCACATCGTCATTTGCCTGTAAAGCGCTATAAAACGCACTGAGGTCAGCTACTACGTCTCCCCGGCATAAGTCCGTCCGCCCCGCTTCCGGCGCCAGGTACGGGCCTCACGAGCGGCGCGTGCCTCTGACTCGTCCGCACCGTCTCCTCCCAGGCGTCGTGCTGTCCCACGGTAACCTGCTGAGTCAGGTGCGCGACATGGTGTCCGCCTGGGAGTGGCGCCCCTCGGACGTGCTGCTACACACCCTGCCGCTCCACCACACGCACGGCATCGTCAACGCTCTGATGTGTCCGCTGTATGTGGGCGCCAGGTGAGAGAGGCCGACAGGCGACCCGCGCGCCAGCGCCACCGGCCGGCGGTGTTGTCGGCGCGCTGCGCGTCCGCGCCATGTGGGGGTCGGCTGAGGGTTGCTGGCCCCACGTGCTGCCGCTTCCCGTCAACATAGCGGGCTATCACCAGGACTAGCGTCGTTCAGGAAGGAGCGTGTCGATGGAGGTTTGCGAAGGCGGACAGCTGTTATGCCCGTGCTTGCCTCTGGAATCCTCGTGTGCCCTGCCACGTGCGCTCTGCCAGAATATGCATGTTCTCTTGTGCATGTTGGAAGCCATGCTACGCTGGAATTCTGCGTCTGCTAACGTGTGAGGCTACCGTCAGTCGAGAGTCCAGGGTGTGTTTCGGTTCCGCTACAGGGACCTGCGACTGCCGTGGCGTTTGCCGCCGGTACAGTGTCGTGCTGCCCCGCCGCAGGTGCGTGATGCTGCCCGAGTTTGATGCAAAGCGCGTATGGTGGGAGCTCCTGGACACTGTGGCAGAGACGGCCGACCAGATCAACATGTTCATGGCTGTGCCCACCATCTACGCCAAGCTGCTGGAGGAGTACAGGAGGAAGAGTAAAAACAACATCGCCTACCAGTCCTTTGTGAAAGACGTGTGCACTTCGAAAATAAGGTGAGTGAAAACGATTTCTGTTGGCTGACGTGGTCATTCGGTGAACGCATGGTGGAAAATTATGGCACGGCCTGGCACTTGGCACGCCAGTTGATGCGACAGTCGTTTGAAGCCGAGAGATGATGAAGCGTTTGATCTTTCCACACTCATGCGAGGCACTCCTGTTTACTCAGAATGACATTGAGGTATGTCGCTGTCTCAAACTGATCGGACTTTGCCCGTCTCAGAACAATAGTCAATACTCGTTTCTACGTCAGACTGATGAGGACAAATTTGTTGCGGAATCAGTCTGACGGCGAGACCCAGGTATCCCCCAGACTTGTAGTGAGAGCAGTAAGGCCCGGTATGCCCCAGACTGGTAGTGAGGACAGTAAGGCCTGGGTATACCCCAGACTGGTAGTGAGGACACTAAGGCCCAGGCATACCCTAGACTGGTAGTGAGGACAGTAGGGCCCAGGTATGCCCCAGACTGGTAGTGAGGACAGTAAGACCCAGGTATACCCCAGACTGGTAGTGAGGACAGTAAGGCCCAGGTATACCCCAGACTGGTAGTGAGGACAGTAAGACCCAGGCATACCCCAGACTGGTTGTGAGGGCAGTAAGGCCCGGGTATGCCCCAGACTGGTTGTGAAGACAGTAAGGCCTCGGTATACCCCAGACTGGTCGTGAGGACAGTAAGGCCTAGGTATACCCCAGACTGGTAGCAGGGACAGTAAGGCCCAGGTATACCCCAGACTGGTAGTGAGGACAGTAAGGCCCAGGTATACCCCAGACTGGTAGTGAGGACAGTAAGGCCCAGGTATACCCCAGCCTGGTAGTGAGGACGGTAAGGCCCAGGTATACCCCAGACTGGTAGTGAGGACTGTAAGGCCCAGGTGTACCCCAGACCGGTTGTGAGGCCCACACGTACCTCAGACTCACGCCGTCTGGGTCCCAGACTTGATGGTGAGCGGGTCGGCGGCCCTGGCCCGACCCATCATGGACGAGTGGGAGGCGGCCACCGGCCACCGGCTGCTGGAACGGTACGGCATGACCGAGACCGGCATGGTGCTCACCAACCCCCTGCACGGAACCAGAGTCCCAGGTCAGTGACGCGCCGACACCGCCGCTGGCACACTGTGTGTGTAGGGTGGGGGGAGGGGTCTCTGCATGATGTTGACTCGTTTAGCGTAGTGTCGATTGGTGCGGAGCATTCTGCTGGGTTGCATTACGAAATCGGGATATATATATATATATATATATATATATATATATATATATATATATGAATATTCTTTTGAAATGACATGTTTTTTTAGCTTGTGGTAACATTTTGCATGCTGTAAGCTATCTTGATATATTTGATTCTAAATTACAAGATTTGAATTACATTGATTTCAAATTACAATTGAAGTTGGTCAATACAGCAGTGAGGAACATGACATACATAAGAGCAATACTAGTGGCCTAATTGATTATTAATGGTTGATGATAAGGTGAAAAATAAAGATACAGTGATGTTTCAGCTACAAGGCTTTGTCAAAACAGCACGTTGATGAGCAGTGGTCGCTGCTCATAAATGTACCAATTATCATGTACATCAATGTACTAAGTGGCTGATCAGCGACGGTCAAAATGAGATAAGAGAGAGGAGAGAGAGAGAGAGAGAAGAGAGTGAGAGAAGAGAGAGAGAGAGAGAGAGAGAGAGGAGAGAGAGAGAGAGGGAGAGTAGTAGGGAAGAAGAGCGAGAGTAGAGAGAGAGAAGAGAGAGAGAGAGATTAGAGAGAGAGAGTAAGAGAGAGATCGATCGAGAGAGAGCACTAGAGAGAGAGCGAGATAAGAGAGATACGAGGATGAGCGAGAGAGCTATGAGAGAATGAGGAGTCGAGAGAGATGATCGAGTGCTAGGGGAGCGTGTCTCTGCTGATCGAGAAGGTGGGGATGGTATCCTCCGCTCTCGCCTCGAGAGAGCGCTCGAGAGCGAAGAGAGAGAGAGAGCGAGCGAGAGAGAAGAAAGATAGATGAGCAGAGAACACAGAACCACACACGCATACACTTCCCTTCTCCCCTCTTACACCAACTACACCCTCCACCCGAAGATTGCCTATGGCTGAACATTTTGTGAGTCGCTTTTATTCTCCCTGCTCGGCTTGCGTTGTTGTTTTGTCATTTTGTTCGAATAGTTACTTTTGCTGTAATGCCAATTTTGGTTTTCAGGTGTTCAGAAGGAGCCTTTATTTATACACATAAAGCTCACTTTCCCCGCCGAAGATTTGATTGCTCCAAATCCGATTACCCGGCTGAATCCGATTACCCGGCTGTAGTGGTGACGTTTACATACGATGCTGGAGAAACGTAATGCAAGGCACAACTTTTGTGAAGAAGTCGTTTTCTTAAGAAAGAAGGCTTATTTTCAGCGGCACTAGTAGTGTAGCGGATGGGGTGAAAGGCAGAAGCATCACCTTACGTCTTAACATAGTATTCAACCAATCAGGTGGAATGCACGCGAACGCCGATGAATTTCGCTTGGAGTGGTACATACCTTGCAGGGTTCTGTGTCGGACCTTACAGGGTGAATAGAAGATCAAAATCCACTGAGTGTGAACCAACAGAAGTGCGTTGGTGAGCTGAGTACAAAACAGGGGTGTCCTGAAAAGAAAATGCTTCATTATTGTGGAATATCCCTTGGCCTCTGCTCCTACTTGTTCTTCAAGACACGTGATGATTTCGAATCTAATTGTCTGTGCCGCGGGTATCAGATGCCTACCCTGCGTTGGTGCTCCCTGACGTCTTTCGGTTGCCTTCTCTGGAGTGAGCGCCTTAAGAAGCTTTCCGGGGCGGCCATTTGAGGGACCTCTTTCTTGGCAGTTTGAGCCCCTTGGTTATTGCTATTGTGCTCTTCACCAGCTCGGCCTCTGCCGGGCGCACGCCCTAGACGACTCGTAGCCCGGGGCCGTCTCGGAGTACATGGCATCACTAGGTGCTAATTAGACGGGAGCATCGTTCAGGGTCCCAGGCTGTTTCCAGGTCCCTCACGGTCTCGTGCGCTGTGAGGTATCATTTGCAGTTGACAGGACACATGGTGGAGCGTCAGCACGTGTTGCGCTGTTTTATAGCGTACTGCGTTTGCGTCAACGGATCCAGAGAGGAACATCCTCCGCTACACTCCCCAAGATTGCCAAAGTCGAGCAAAAATGACAGGTTTTTTTACATGGAAGACAATTTGAATAAATTTTGCTTTGACGCGGTGATGTGTCCTTTACAACACTCCTTGAAGTAAAGCAAAACGAAATCTGATATTTTGGGAAAGATTGGGGCATGCTTTTTTAGAATAAGGTCCCCGAAGGCGCAGCTCTGTATCCGTCCTTACACTGCATACGCGTGCCTGCTGTACCTACCACCAATGCGGTCAAATCAATTTATGCATTTTTTTGAAGCTGGTTTGCTAGTTAGTTACGATAAAAAATGGCATTTGCATAGGTGTTACGAACTGAAAATATGCTTTGGACGCTTGAAGTAAGCCGCAGTGATGTGCTCATGTCGATAAGACAGTAATAGCCTTATCCTTCGTAGAAATACTAGGAGAAAGAGAAATAAACGCATCTATCTCTCTATTCCTTTGGTTTCTCCATGATGAATAAGATTATTACTACTGTATTATCTATGTTTACAATGTTTCTCGCAAACCCACTGGTAGCGCCGTGGTGTAGTCATGTACTATACATCTCTTTCCATGCGTATCATCCTGTACACCCGTCATTGCTCAGTGCCGAAATAGCTCAGTTGGGAGAGCGTTAGACTGAAGATCTAAAGGTCCCCGGTTCGATCCCGGGTTTCGGCAGTTTTCTTTCTTAGAACTTTGCTACTGTTATCGTCAAACCGCTCACGATACCAGCTGATATTGTATAAACAGCGGGTTTTAAAGCTCAGAAATCAGTTGTGCAGCAGGAAGTTTGTTAACATAATGACGTTAGTTCGCAAGTTTCTAAATTTCATACAGAAGGCGAACATAGTGTTACCGCGGTAGATTCCTCACTGCGAATCGTGGACCAGAGGAAGATAACGGATGCACGGTAAGTGGCACTGTGGCCCCAGTGCGGTGGAACTTACCGTGATTGACATGCCACCAAATTTCGGTTACTCCATCGATAGCAAATTAGCGGCCTGGTTCGCGTGAACCGTGCCGCCCGCCGCTCCAGCCTTGTGCGACGACACCCTGTGCGTCGCAGGTGCCGTCGGCCGGCCGTTCCCGTCCGTGGAGGTGCGGCTGGCCCGGTTCAAGCCCGGCTCCGGGGAGCAGTACGACGTGCTGGCGGAGGGCAACAGCCGCGGCACCACCGTCACGCCGGGCTGTGAGGGCCAGGTACGGAGAGAGCGTGCCGTGTTGGCGAGGGCTGGGCGTAAACCGGCCGGAGAGCGGCTCCAGAGGGCAGGTAATAGGGATTGCTAATAGTGAGAACAGAGACCGGAAAGTGCGGACTTTGTCGGGGAGCTGCCACAGAGCTGGACTGTTTGAAAATAGCAATGCAGCATACCGATCACGCATCATAATTTAAAGCTGCTCTAGTGCATATGCTTCGTACAGGTGGCGAGTGAGTGACGGATTTTTATCGATCGATTTTATGGTGCATCTACACCCGCTTGTGTTAGTGACGTGGTGATGGGAATGCCTGGACATGTTCGAGGATGGAGCTAAAATACACTATCACAGCTGCAATGGTGCCCGGCCCCGCTCAATATTTCTCCAGCTGCCCCGAGCCGGCTGGGAGCCCCCTGTGAAATCCCCTCCCCTTAGGAGGGTAAGCTGCTGGTGCGCGGTCCGTCCGTCTTCAGCGGCTACTGGCAGCGGCCGGAGGTGACCCCTCGTGTGATCCCCTCCCCCCAGGAGGGTGAGCTGCTGGTGCGCGGTCCGTCCGTCTTCAGCGGCTACTGGCAGCGGCCGGAGGTCACGCGCCGCGAGTTCGCGCCCGACGGCTGGTTCCGCACCGGCGACACGGCCGCCCTCACCGGCGACGACGGCCTCTTCCGCATCCTCGGCCGCACCTCGGTCGACATCATCAAGTCGGGCGGCTTCAAGGTCAGCGCCCTGGATGTGGAGCGCCGCCTGCTGGAGCACGCGACGTGCAGGACGTGGCCGTGGTCGGCCTGCCCGACCTCACCTGGGGCCAAAAGGTGGGTGGCTGTGGCTGACGCCCGCCCAGTGTTACGGAGTGTCGCGCTCGGTGCCGACATGGTTTCGGCTGACACCCATCCAGTGTCACGGAGTGTCGCGCTCGGTGCCGACACGGGCTCGGCTGACACCCGCCCAGGGTCACGGAGTGTCGCGCCCGTGTGGCGGCATGGGCTGAGCTGACACCCGCCCAGTGTCACGGAGTGTCGCGCGCGGCGGCGATATGGGCTTGGCTGACGCCCGCTCAGTGCCACGGAGTGTCGCGCTCGGCGGCGGCATGGGCTCGGCTGTCACCCGCCCAGGGTCACGGAGTGTCGCGCTCCCGGCGGCGGCATGGGCTCAGAAGCTTCTGGCGGAATTCGCGGCACCGTCGCCTGATGTGGGCCTAAAGTACGCGACGTCTAACGCGACCAGAGAGGCTCTGTGAGTCGTGCTTGCGCGAAGAAAGGCTAGGGATGAAGAATACGGCCATACCAGTGTCACGGCGGTGTTTTTTCAGGGGGGGGGGGGGGGAGTTACCTCCGTCCCCGTCGCAAGATGTGACCGTCACTCGTCTGTCTGCTCGGTTCCTGTCCGGCCTTGCTCATCACTGTTAGCTTTGGGTCGGACTCGCTGTGCCCACTCGGGGCTTGACGGCGTATGACATTAAGCTGCGCACATGCCCCAGGTGGTGACCTTTACTGACGACACCACCTGGTGGTCCAGGCGTAACCTCTACTGACACGCGCCCTGGCCTCAGATTGCAGCTGTGGTGGTGGCTTCTGCCGACCTGGACCTCGCCCAGCTGAAGGAGTGGTGCAAGGAGAAGCTGCCCCCGTACGCGGCACCCACTGTGCTGCGGCTGGTGCCCCAGCTGCCTCGTAATGTCATGGGCAAGGTCAACAAGAAGGAGCTCGTCAAGACCATGTTCCCGCAGTCGCGCGCCGGGGTGTAGGTCGCGGCCCGGGCGCTAGGCGGCGCGGCGATCGCCTGTGCCGGGAATCACGCCTCGCGGCGAGGTGGCGGCTTGTGACGGTGATCGCATGCTGGGAGTGACAGGTGCCATCGGTGCGGTTTGGTCTGTCGCTTGTGTATGCTGGGTGGCTCAGTTAGGCATGCTATTCTGCGATGACAAAATGCGAGGATGGATTTCTTCCAGCATATGCCAGTTGCTGCTCTGATTTGGCAGGTGGCATTTGTGCCTGTGTTCCGCAGGCTCATTGACTCTTCGTCAATAGAGTGTCTGTTCAGTGGTGGTGAGCTGCTCATCACGAACACAACAGCTTGTCTGTAATTGGAGGTGATATTGGGGGTACAGTCACTCAGGACTAGGGCAATGGTGGTGCTTGCACTGCCCAGAATTCACTAATATTAGCTGTAGAGGAAGGCCCTGTGATAACTTGGAATGTGATTTTATAGCAGCTGCACTGATGTCTCAGTGAGCTATACATTGATCATTGATTGGTGACATTTTGTGTCGTTGTACTGTTTGTTCCCTGGGACTCATAGTGGACAGTACCGGACGTGGACGTGATCCATGACTACAATAATTGCGTGACAATAGTTAGCAAGTGTTATGCGTTTTTGGGAGCTATGTGCAGATGGTCTGGACTTGACAGGTATAGCTGCATGATGCTTAAATGCTTATGGCTCGCAAAATATAGAGCGATCGATGCAGGACTGTATCCTTCGTGCATGAACTGCGTAATGCCAAAGCTGAGTCAATGGAGAGCCCGAAATGGTGGCGAGCTCCAAGGTCAGTCCATCTGGTGTTAGTGCGTAACGCAGAGACATAACTTTGGATCACCATTGAGACATGCTTACGGTGAACAGATGGTGTGAAAATAATGGGGAAATCGACCTATTATCCAGCTTCTCACCGTTGATAATTGCTCATGATAGTTCACTGTCCGCGTGATGGTCATAGTATGAGAGTTTCCCAGATCTCGTTCGTATGTACCGTTTTAACAGCAACTGGAAACAAACTTAAACACTGACGGCTCGGCTATCAGGATCTATATTGTAAAAACAGGAGCGTGCATTTGATGAGCCGCTTCCTTCGGCGGGCCAGTACGTGGCACCAATAATGAGTAAAAAAGACTGCAGACCCACGAGTTTCTCACCCTCAGTATTGTCTGAATGGCCGACGCGATGTTTGGGCGCCCAATCAGCACCAATAGCAACGCAGCGACGCCTGTGAGCGGTTGAGGGTGACGGGCAGGACCATGCCGGGATATTGCCGGTGTCAGAGATTGCTATGGGGTAGATGTACTGAAGGCCGGTATCAGGGAGTGTTAGTCTGGGCTGGATGCACTGAAGGCCTGCAGTAGTGAAGACACCGCCTGACCCTTACCGGCTGCTGGTCGCTACTCATGCACGCAGACGCATGCCGCTACGGTGTGGATGCCGACCAGTTTTGCGTAGCGGGCACGTTAGCCAGAATTGTACTCACCGAGGCCAAACGTAAAACTATCCTCAAAATCTCAAGGAATTGGACCAATTTTCGATGAAGGGGTGGAGCGGCGTGGCCTTTCCTTTGACTACATACTTTGTTTGGCGGGACATTCTCGCATCCAGCTTGCACCGCACCCTTTGCTCCCTAAATCTACCAACAGATGTCGCCAGTATCTGGCCCGCTGCCCAGTTCGTCGCGCCGTCCAGAGATGTCGCGGCGGGCGGCGGCGAGCCCTATCGATCCCGTCGGCCGTGGCGGTCGTGGCCGGCTGGCCGGCGGTGCTGTCGGCGCCCGTGGCGCCAGCCGAGGCGGCGCGAGTGAGGGCCGCGCCGGCTCGGCACGCCTGTGGTGACAACATCGGCCATGCAGGCCGGGGAGGGCCTCTTCTCGCCCAAGTCGGGCCGCCGGCTCGCGGCCAAGACGCCCGAGAAGAGGCAGCCGGAGAGCGCGCCGGACGACGCCCAGGTGGGTCAGCGTTCGGCCAAGGGTGCGGCATGGCCTGGCGCCGGCGTGTGTAGGGTCGCTTAGCAGTTGGTACGCTTGGAATGGTGTTTCACTGCTGCGGTGCTGGAATGGGGTTTCACTGCTTCACATGACCATGGCTGGCTCAGCACTGTAGGGCATGTGTGTACTTACTGAGGAGCTGGGGAAACATATCCTCAAATTTCCCAGAATTACTTCACCCTCATAAGCTGTCACGTAGAATTCAGGTTTTCTACGTGCTCCCATTCAAAACGTCATGTTTAGGTAAGGCTGCTCAGATTCTAGTTTCTACTGTAATTCTGCTTTGCTCCGCACCCCCCCCCCCCTCAATCTTAGAACCTATGGTGCCAGGTGAATCCAGGTAAACCCCGGTAGGTAAAGCTTTTGCAAACGTCCGGAGAAGAAACTGTGACAATGATTCCAGAGGTGTGGGTATACCAGCAAATGGTGCATTGGCTCATACATTACCGTTCGGATATTATAAACTTCAAAAAGTGGAGATGGACCCCAAGCTCTTACGACCTTGTCTTAACTCTAAACCCTAGCATTGTCGTTTTAACCCATTTCGAACTCCGTTAGAAGCCCATAAACAGCAGCCTGCTAAGGTGTAACACAGATGATTAGCACACTGCGAAACAGCCTTTAATTTTGGAAACGGACATTGTGCAGGACGAGAAACTGGCACGTGCATTGAACTCAGCCCGCCGTAACAAGCCGCTGCTCAGTACATTGCTTACCCCACTTACGGCATCCGTGACTGGCTAGCCCTCTAACTTGGCGAGGACGTGCTCCAGCATTTGAGCCTTTGCTTCCGCCAACAGCATGGGCAATGAAACGTAGCTGAGCACTTTTTGAGAGTGCCCTTTTCTTCAAGCACTTGTTTTCGTCCGACGCGAACCCGTAGTTATGTGAGCACAAAACGCCGTAAGTGGAATATGCATTTAAACTGGGCCGCCCTCCTGATCCCATCGTCCTGTGGTTCCAGTAAAGCACAGACGCGCATACACTGACGGATCCATAACAAGAAAGTTCGCAAAAAGCCGCATTTGGCCGGCCCGGCCGACCCGTGCTTTGGCCCGGAACTCGGACGCGACGTCAGCGGGAACATTCCATCCTCGCGAGTCATAGGATTGGGTCTCCGCAGGCTCGCGCCAGGCCAGCGCACACCAGTCGCCTTTAGACGAGCGCCATTTGGTGGTGGGACCATGGTGGGACCCTGACAGAATGTCTGGGGTGGGAAGTTGGCAGCTGCGCGGACGCTGGTGTGCATGGCTGGTCATGGACTCCCGGCCAGCGGGCGGGAGTTTTCTGTTATTATATTCACACTCAGTGCCCAGAAATGACCGTCCAGCAGAAGATGACAGGCGTAATGTAGGGACCAAAGCGCGTCTGTGGGTGCCGCCCAAGACTCCATTGCACAACCACGATCCGTCTCCACGCGTACTGTCGAAGCAGGTGACGTGATCACAGCCTCTGCTCACGTGCACCGTCTCGAGCATGGTGAGTGGTGACGCAACCACAGTCTTTCCCCGGTTAAACCGTCCTAGGGAAAGCCATACCGTGACGTTGCCAGGGAAAGTTCCCCTTCCGCGATGCGTGTTTCGTGACGTCATCGTGTGCCGAACCTTGCTTGATTAACCTTGCCAGATCAAAGTCGTCATACTTTGTAAAAGCATGCTCGCTCCAATTCAAGCATGCCTTCCCTCCTGTCCAACCTCAAACGCAATCATGCTCAGGGATATTTGTCTGTTTATGATGTTCGGAAATTGTTTAATGAACCTCCTTGCTCTTGCCAAGAGACGATTTTCCTCCATCGTGAAAATTGCTACTAAGGCTGACCACGGACGAAATAATGCTTGGAAAGGTCGCCTACGATTTAAATCAATTTGTTTAACATCAGGGTGGGCCTAAGCCTACATTTGTCAGGACAAAGCTGGAACTTAAACCGCCACTTTCTGGGACTGAACCAAATGGCAAACCAAATGTTGCCAAGTGGCAAACCAAACGGCAGCAACCAAACGGTCAGACAGACCAGACGGGTTCGGCGGATACTAAAGATGGCGGGGATCGAACAGCAGACCAAAAGGTGGACCTACGAATGGTACACGGAGAAGGATGACTGGCATAAACCGAAGAAGGGAGAAGTCCGACAGACAGACAAAGCGCTCGTTTAGGGAGAAAACAAAAAATGAGCGAAAATGACAGAGATGTTGATGAAAGAGAAGGTTCGGAAGAGACGAGGGAATTTTCAAAGAGGAGGCTGGGAGAAGAGGAGGGCCAGGGTTAATTATAACGGTGTGAAATGGGTGGGCCGTGACCCTTCTGTCTGGGCGATCCGTTTACCAAACGCCTCCAGACGGGATCGAATCGATTATGGGGCGGGTAAAGAGCGCCGCGTGTGATCCATTACCGCCCGGCCACATCTGCATCACGGCAGCGGCCGGAGGGCCGGGCCGCCGCCTCCGAGAGTGATCAGGGGAGAGGCCGTAGAGAGGGCAGAGAGAGAGAGAGAGAGAGAGAGAGAGAGAGAGAGAGAGAGAGAGAGAGAGAGAGAGAGAGAGAGAGAGAGAGAGAGAGAGAGAGAGAGAGAGAGAGAGAGAGAGAGAGAGAGGGACGAGAGAGGATGAGAGGGAGAGAGAGAGGGTAGGAAGAGGGGGAAGAGAGGAGACAAGTGAGAGGGGAAGGAGGAGAGGAGAAAGCGAGAGGGGAATAGGAGATAAGCCAAACAAGTAGGCTGTAGAATGGTAGGTGAAACCGCGAGACAGCGTATATTTAGGTTTCGGGGATATACAGACGCGTCATGTCAAACAATGACAACTTACTGGTGTATTCATATCGAGCTTGCTGTCGCAGTTAACAACTAACCTGCTCCACTCACTTGAGGCATTCATTTTTGGAGTTTTGAACTATGGCACTTTTCTGTGAGCCGCTGTTATACGAAGCAATTTGTCCGCCATGGCCCTGTTTGATACTCTGTTTTACTACTAGACTGTTACAAATATGGTTTGTTTCAAACAGGCCCCTCAATAGGTCGTGTTAAAAAGCGAGTCAGTTCCCCACCGTGTTTGCTTATCTCGTGCGGTGCACCTGGTCGCGTTCATCAATTATTCCTTCGTGTCCTGGACGTCGACCGTCAAAAGGCGAGAGCGCCATCAATCAGCTGGTGATATCCGATTTCCCATCTTGTAGCGGCAGTCTGCTGCTATCGATCCGAATTAATCAAAGCTTGATGAAAGAGCCCATGCGTATGGAAACACCCTGTTGGCTGAGCCGGAGCGCGGGGAGCGCCGCGCGCCGCCTTGCCGAGGGCGGCTGGGACCTGGACTCTCTCACACCTGGGGGAGCTCCGCGTGCTGCCTGACCGAGGGCGGCTAGGACTCGGACCCTCTCACGCCTGGGGGAGCTCCGAGTGCTGCCTGACCGAGGGCGGCTAGGACTCGGACCCTCTCACGCCTGGGGGAGCGCCGCGGGCTGCCTGACCGAGGGCGGCTAGGACTCGGACCCTCTCACGCCTGGGGGAGCTCCGAGTGCTGCCTGACCGAGGGCGGCTAGGACTCGGACCCTCTCACGCCTGGGGGAGCGCCGCGGGCTGCCTGACCGAGGGCGGCTAGGACTCGGACCCTCTCACGCCTGGGGGAGCTCCGAGTGCTGCCTGACCGAGGGCGGCTAGGACTCGGACCCTCTCACGCCTGGGGGGGCGCCGCGGGCTGCCTGACCGAGGGCGGCTAGGACTCGGACCCTCTCACGCCTGGGGGAGCTCCGAGTGCTGCCTGACCGAGGGCGGCTAGGACTCGGACCCTCTCACGCCTGGGGGAGCGCCGTGGGCTGCCTGACCGAGGGCGGCTGGGACTCCGACCCTATCACGGCTCTCCTGCGTTACGACCACATCGCGTGTCGTTTCCAGGTCATGTCACACGCCGTGCGTGTACTTGCCAGCTCATCGAGCTCGTTTGCGTGGTGAACCAGCTCACTGAGAGTAGTCATTTGTCGGTCATCAATCATGCGCGTGAGTAAAAACGCGCCGTCTGTCACCTACCGGTGACCGCGATGGATTGCCTTTCACCTCAGGTCACCGGACGGGCACCGTGCACGCGGAAGGGGCCACCAGTCACGCGGGAGGGGCCATCTGTCAACGAGACTTTGTGCTACAGGTACGGCAAAGAGGGTCCACTGACTTGTGTTGCGTACATCACAGACTTCTCGACGAGCATGCGAAGGGACGTGCTTTTGCTCCCAGCCCCCTCCCCGCTTCCCCGTTCCCCTACGTTGCTATCTGGAAGTCCTGGTCGTTCCAGCGCGGTCCCTGGACGTCCGGCTCAGTGAGCGCGCTCAGCGTCCGTCTCCAGTCGTCCGACGGCCCCGGCGCCGCGTCCAGCTGCGGCACCGTCGGCTGACCGGACTCTGTCACGGACTGATTAGCATGAGGCTCGTCAGGGAAGCGCCCCCTGGTGGGCGCGACCAGGCGCCGTGCCGCCTGCTCCGGCGATGTCCGGCGCACAGACACGGCCTGCCTGGCGGACACCGAGCTGTCGTTCGACCAGCGTCTCCGTCACCCGCGGCATTAAGCATTAAGCGCAGGCATTAAGCAGCTGGAGAGACGAGGAGGCGCGCCGCGCTCACGACCTGCCACGCGGAAGTCATGCAAAGTGTTGGCATCCTTGAAGGCGGCGTCCGAACCTCGCCCCCGGGCACGCGCGGCCTCTTGACGTGAATCGGAGCACTAGATGCGTCCTTGTCTCGCCTTTTCACATGTCTCAATGCGATTCAGGGACGTGGACCACTCACCGCACCGTAATCGGATCGCCAGGGACGCTGGGCATTCGACGTTAAAAGGTTCTGCAGCGGAGGCCGCACCCAGTGCCAGTCTGTTTCCTTGTCTCAGTCCGCGTGGCATGACCACGTCGGGCGGCATGGGTGACAAAAAATCGACCTAGGCTATGGATCAGCCTTCGTGACATAGTGCGTCGTTGCATCAATTATATAACCCCGTAAATCGTTTAGAATTCAGCTTGGCCCATGTAGCTGCCAGTCACCCTCGCTTAGGCATAGGCTTGCCTTCGCTATGCCACATGTAGGCATAGTTTCCGCCTGGGGAAGATATTGAACGACCTGCTGCACACATGACTTGCGGCTCGTGAAATCGTGACTCGTTAGTATCGACACCGCGACTCGTTACATGGTGACTAGGGAATCACGAAGACGCAGTTCGTGCAGTCATCAGTCGTGACTTCCCGTCCTTCTCTGGCCGGGAACAGCCCGCCAGTCTCGGGTGAGGCGAAGTCTCCGGTGACACGTGCCCCTGACAAGCCGGTGGTCGGCCGGGCTGGTGCGGCGGTCGCCCCGGCGGCGCCAGCCACGCCGTGTGCCGCCAGCCACCGGACCGCCGCGACCGTCGTGACCCCCGGACTGACCGTCACGGGTCAGAACGCCGGTCGTTCGAGGCTGCCGCTACCTCCCTGGCGCCGCGAGCCGGGATGTGACGGCCGCCGCGACGCCGTGTGTGGCCGGGCCGTCGGTTTTCCTTGAGCGGCCGCCGAGCAGAGCCGATCGCCGTTCGGTGTGGCAAGGTCGGCAGCCGAGCGGAGCGGCCGTTTTTCCGGGGATTGTTGCTCGGTTGGCCGCTCTAGTCTGTCGCCCCTCCTTGCTCTACTGACGCCGTGAGCCGTGGACCATCACTCATCGCCTTAGTGACCCGGTGAGCGCGCTCACCACCGTCCCTCCCCGCAGCCGATGCGGCAAAGATGGCTGCCTCCAGATCGCGAGCAGGCGTTCGCCAGCCGCAGCGGACGTTCCCTGGCCGCGGCCTGATGCGGCCAGGCGGTCTAGCGCGGTGTTCGGCAGTTTTTCATCGATCTGCAGCCACCTCGGCCGTTCCCGGACTCTCCATCAGCGGCCACGTGCCTGTGATCACCGCGGCCGCCCAGCCCTCCCCCCCCCCCCCGCTCGCCTCCTCTGCTGCTCCTCCCCGAGCTTCCGAGCTCGCGTCCATAAAGTGCTGACGAACTGGTCCCGGGAGGGCTAATGTCGAGCTGGCCGTCCGCCGCCGCGCTCCGCCGGCTGGGTCTTAACTGAGCACCGGCCGGGGTGCTGCCAGGTGGAGGTAGGAGCACGTTGCGCTGCACCAGTTCGATTTTATCGGCGGCTGCTTTCGTGAGCCGCCATCCAGTTTCAATACTGGACGCAAAATGACCTTGGCAGTCGGCGAGCCATTAAGCACCAATAACTTACCACTTCCGTCCGACGCCGAAGTCTGATTGGTTCACACATCAGCTTGGGGCAAAGCCATGTGTCCAGCCGCGGCCCAGGTCAGCACATTGCAGTGCTGACATTTTAGAGCGGCTCCCATGCCGGACAGCACTTGAACCTTGCCCTTGTGCTATGCTCATTTACGATGTGAGTCCGGAGGTTAAAACACGGACTCAACGTGAAAATGGCGTGATCGTGAAAAGCTGCCTCGTCCCGGCATTGCCCTCCCCCGGCCACCTACGCTTGGCCAATCGTAGAGGTGGGCAGATGGCGTTATTTCCGACACCACCTTGCCGGAGATAAAGTCCGGGTGCTGCTGTACTTGAAACCGCCCGTCCGTGTGCACCACGCAAACACGCGGCCGCACATGCCGGCCTCGCACTGGCCACCCCCTCCCCTCTCTCCCACCACCATATCCGTGACGGATCGAGCGTGAATTACTGCTGGAATGTGTCACGCTTGTCATGGCTGCTTGACATGGCACAGGCGTGGCATGGCACGGCACCGCTCCACGCCTCCTGATCACCGCTAGCAGGGCTTATTGCGTGATGTGGTAGTCCCAACGGATGGTTGATTACATTTTGCTATTTACGAAAGATGCAATAGAGTTCTCGCGAATCCGCACAATGTGGCGTGGGTTTGGTTAAGTCCACAGTTCCATGCTTACAACGCCAGACTACGTTTCAAACTGGAACTTGTGAATTGCTGCGACCTCCGCCATACTAATAAGCAGCCATCTAAACCGCCTCACGTTGCTACTGGGGTCCTGGAATATAGAACACAAACAGTCCATCACTAAGTCAATCAAGTCATCGAGAACACAAATTGTTTTCGCTTCCAGGGCAGAGTTCCAAAGCGCGCTAGCACACACCTCCGTGTGCCGTGCCAACCATGGTGACTGCCCCACGTAGGAAGCCCCTCTCCTGGCCGCTGTCTGAGTCCGCCCCGTGAGTCCGCCGCCTGAGTCCGCCCACGTGAATCCGCCGCCCGAGTCCGCCCCCGTGAATCCGTCGCCCGAGTCCGCCCCCATGAGTCCGCCGCCCGAGTCCACCCCGTGAGTTCGCCGTCCGAGTCCGCCCCCGGAGTCCGCCGCCCGAGTCCGCCTCCGTGAATCCGCCCGAGTCCGTTCCGTGTCCCGTTTCGACGTGCCCTGCATAACGCCACTGGTAGGGCTGATGGGCGGTTGTGCCGCGCGGGTAGCAATCACGGCGTCCGACGGCGGACAGCCGGAACGGACCGCCGCGCAAGCTCGGACAGCGGCCGGTATTACCCGGCCGACGGCGGGTATGTGGCTCCACAGCCGCCACCCAGCCTCACGGCTTGCCGCGTCCACCGGCGGGTGATCCGATCGAACGTCGTCGCCTGCGAACACCGGACTCTGACGTCGCGTATGCAGATGGCGACGCCACGACAGACATCTTCCTCGAGAGCGGCACTTGATTTCCGGTGGGAAGCTATATTTTTGATGGAAATGGCGTGTTTCGATGGGGTCCAAGCCTGGTCTGCCGCCATGGTTTCATCTGCATCGCTGCCGCAAAGCTTCGGTGAGGTTCTGCACGACGGTGAAGGAATTCGCTCACTGTTAGTCGACGGGTGAGGCCTATTTACTTCATGCTCAGCACGATTTTGGCATAGTTGGGCATGCCCGTTGTCGACCGAGGGAATTCCACGGCTGGCAAGCTGCGGCAGACCGGTCCCGTCCAGCGGTTATCTCCTCTGTGATCAAGGAGGGCAGCCCTGCTCCCATGCTTCCCGTCGGGGAGTGTCTGCACTGGCTGGACGGATCGGCTATTGTTCGCGGCTGTCCGGTGCAGTGGCCCCGTCCGCTGCGCCAGATAGTCCACACTCTGCCGCTATCCCGATCCGGATCGATTAGTCCACGCTCTGCCGCTATCCTGGTCCGAATCAGGCCACGCTCTGCCGCTATCCCGATCCGGATCGATCACTTTATACTCTGTCGTTATCCCGATCTGGATCGATCAGTCCACGCGCTGCCGCTATCCAGATCCGGATCGATCTCTCCATGTTATGTCGCTATCCCGATCCGGATCAATCAACCCACGCTCTGCCGCTATTCCCATCCGGATCGACCAGTCCATGCTCTGTCGTTATCCCGATCCGGATCGATCTATTAGGGATCTGGACGGTACCCACTCCGAACTCGCTCGCTTGCAGCCGGGCCCCGCTCTGAATGATTGAACGCACGGTCGGTGCGGTCTGGGCAGACCGCTGTCCGTGTGAGTGACAACGCCCCAGTTGGTCGTCCTCGGTGTTCAGGCGGGCGGGTGTTGTCAGCACCGTCGCCGACGCACCGTGTGAGTGACATCTTCCTAGTTGGCCGTTCTCAGCACTCAGACGGGCGGGTGTTGTCAACGCCGTCGCTGACACTCGGTGTGAGTGACATGGCCCCAGATGGCCGTCCTCAGTGCTTAAGCGGGCGGGTGTTGTCAGCGCCATCGCCGACACTTAGTGTGAGTGACATTTCCCCAGTTTGCAGTCCTCAGCGCTCAGGCGGGCGGGTGTTGTCAGCACCGTCGCTGACACTCGTTGTGAGCGACATCTTCCCAGCTGGTCATCCTCGGTGTTCAGGCGGACGGGTGTTGTCAGCGCCGTTGCTGACACTCCGTGTGAGCGACATCTTCCCAGATGGCCGTCCTCAGCACTCGAACGGGCGGGTGTTGGCAATGCCGTCGCTGACACTCGGTGTGAGCGACTTCTCCCCAGTTGGCCGTCCTCGGTGTTCAGGCGGGCGGGTGTTCGGGCGGGTGTTGTCAGCTCCGCTGCCGGCAGTTCGCTGGCGTGGCGGGTGTTGTCAGCTCCGCTGCCGGCAGTCTGCCGGCGTGGCCGACGCTGGCGCGGCTTCCCGCAGTCAGTCAAACTCGTCCGCGGTCGCCGTGAGGCCGACAGAGCCCCGTTCTCAGCGTGCCAGCCGGCGCCGCTGGGTGGGTCCGTCACGCGCCTGGCGGCCGGGCTGGTGGTCCCGGCCCACCCGTGAGGCCTGGCCCGGCCGCGGGGCCTGAGGCCGGGAGGTAGCCCCTGTTGAAGGACGCTAGGTATTCAGAGACAGTGTGCGGCAGGGCCCCGCTCCTACTAAACACAGACTGAAGTGGACGGGTGCAATATATTCGCAGCTCCCAGTTGGATGCGAACTGGCCTGTGGGTTGTTCTCGAGCTTTCGTTTGCGACATAATTTTATTGCTGAAACATTTTTGTGTAGGTCGTCATGCAGAAGAAACATTATTTGCATGGAATGGTATGCTATTGTGAATGGGTGAGCAAGGCACGTGACATGAATCGTGTTGCGTAAATCCATAGGAGATATAGGGTTTATATCGTCCGTGAGGAAGTGAGAGCCTTAGCCATGCAGCATCTGCGGCCACGCTTTTTTATTCATGTGCTTGACAAATGGCGATTCGGCAGCAGGACTGTTTGCTGTACAATAGCATAAGAACGTGGCGACTGATCAATGACGCCACCGGTCCAAACCTACCGACTCGCGAATTCTTGTGATGGCTGCCATTTCAAAATATATCTTGCTGCAGCAATCCATATCGGTTAGAACTGGGGGTAGAATGTAGTCTGCATCGGTCTGGAAACACAGAATATCATCACTTTTGCACGGCGACAATCACACCTTCAAAGTAATATAAATGTAGTTGTTTAAGAACAGGGCACACAAGAATGGTTAGGAAAATACAGGCCCTCAATAAACTTTCAGGATCATTGCAGTCCCTTTATCAGAATGATTTTCGTTATTATATAATTGTGAGACATATACATTTGATGTTTAAACGTGCCAGATTACTGCGCGCATAAATAGTTCCGTGATCTGTTCACACTAAAGGTTTTAGCTCGCAAGCACGCAACATGTTTGTGTAAGGCTGTTTTGATTCAGCTAGCTTAGCTTTGATGAGTTAAACTAAATGATCGCTTCGCAGCAGGGCGATATTGCTTGTCAAGCTGCAAAGCGGCCAGGCAATTATTGCTCACCAAAGCTAGGTAAAAATGAGCTTGCACAAACATCTGGACACTGGGACGACACATTGAGCTGGACCGAATGGAAGAAACAAGTCGATATCAGAGATATGCATTGAGCCGTTGCTATTCAGGCATGTTTCTATGTAGGTCTGGCCTAACCTACCAAAAGTAACGGATCGTTGTACGTGTGCTTGCCGTAAATGCATCAGCTCCGAACCCGTAAGGATGCTTCGTAGAGCATTTTGATCACTCCCAACATCGTGCTTCGATTACTTCAGTGCAAGCTAAATGGTGAAAATGGCTTCTACAGTGCTTAGCTGTGTAATCGTCCGCTAGCCGAGAATAATTTGCTTTTTTAAAGTTATAAAGGAAGGCATCCTTATATCGAAATCATTGTTTTGTTGGCTCATTGATCTATCTTAACACCAGCACATTAATAGTGGGAGCAGGTGCGCGAACTATATTAATGGGGGCTCTATTGTCGAGAAAGTCCCTATATGTGTAGGTATGTCAGGGCTGCGCACTTGTGATTGGGGATTTACGACGCACTCAGCTTCTGAGGCAATGTGACGTCACCAGGGTCTCAACCTAGCAGGAAGGGCGGGTATCGCGGGAAATCGAACCCCGTGCCTTATGTCAGACCTGTAACCCCATCGTTGGGCATAACTCAGCGTGTTGAAAAGATTTAGTTTTGTCAGAACCTCACTTCATCTCGGAATGCCGATGTAGTTTCGTCCGTATAAACATGCCAGATACGCTGATGCGATATTTTCACGTCCAAGCAAATAATTTGACCAAAAAAATGGTAGAAGCGATCATTTTTCATCCAGGCTAGTTACCTTTATTCGTTTTGGTAACGGTAATGGAAAACTTGGACATGCGGAATACGTAAGGTAAACATGAACAAGATGGCTGTCTCGAGTGGAGCGCCCGGCATGATTTTATCAGTATCGCACGACTTTTCATCATGGTTCTGATAGCCTGTTAACTAAAGGCCCCTGTGCATTTGTACTGGCATGTCCAATAGCGCGCAATGGTGCTGAGAATACAATACACATTTCAAACTCATTTCGACTTCGCTTGCGTCACGCCCGTTCACAGACTTTTCAGCGCGTCAGACGTGAGCCGAGAGCCAGTGACGTCATGAGGAAAAAGTGACGCGTAATGCATAGCCGAGGGTGTTCATCAGTCACAAATGAAAACTGCAATCGCCAAACCACCGCTAATCACTTACAAATACAAGAAAAATAAGTTGTGCGACAGGCGTCCAAACATATAGCCCAAAACGGGAGGTGGGAGAGCAACGGCGATATTTGTCCAAGTGTGAAACGTTCAGCAAAAGTATGACATTGGTCGGTGCACGGTTTATGGCTTAGGGTTATGTACACGCTTCCGATGTCCAAAGCGCTTCTAAAAAAACGACAGAAAATGTGAGGCAATGCACCTAAATGGTTTACTTCTGTGGCTTACATAAATGAACGCCTTTCCTTAGACAACGAAACTCTAAAACTTGGCTCCACTATACCACAAATACATCGCGCCTTTTTGCATCTTACGACAGCCTCATGGTACTACACACACATTTTGGTTGACGGGAGAAGCTTATGGCACGTAACGCGTTATGGGGGCCAAAACGTGTATCTCAAGCACGTGCTCTGCAGTTGTCTTGTTCGGCAGAACCGTTTCAAAGTAAGTCAGAGCTGTCCATTTCATAAAACTGTGCCGAGAATAATCCTGAAGTATTTCAGCTGTCGATGTTCAGAAATTCCGGGCGCACATAGTGCTGAATGAAGGGCACTTTGAGCAAAAGGCTGTAGTGTGTAGATGACATTGCACGCAATGCAACGAACATTATATTGCGATGCAAAACGCATACGAGCATTGTCTCAACTTTCAGTATCGCCTTATCCACGGAAATGTTCTACTCGTGGTAGATGGGCATGGTGTAAAATGTCCTTTTCGGATGGGCTATTCATTTCCACTTCCTATGAAATATTCTTGAAAACTTTGAGTATAATTGGGGTGTCTTAGGAGAGTGCTGCTTGAGTTACGGAATTGGACACGCCGATACCCGACTTGTTATTAAAAGTCATAGGGTTTGCTGAATATCAACAGCCTCTCGTTGAACGTTAATGAGTGCATCTCGCCCCAGTCTACTAATTTAGAGTTTATACCACGTAAAATGCATATCATGAAGACTGCCTACAATCTGGAATGAGGCGGATCGATCGAATATCAAACAATAGTACAATCAACAGTTCTTACTTGGAGGGTGGCTTTTGACTTTTACTCCGCTTTCTGCTGCAGGAGCGTCGTGTCTTCTTTCTCCTTCGAGATGACTTCCTCCTACTTCTCTGGCTTTTGGATCTCCTGCACTTGGATCTCCTGCTCTTGGACCTCCTGCTCTTGGACCGCCGATGGCCTGACTTTTTCCTACTTTTTGACCTTGTCTCTCGCGCCTTGCTTTTTGATTTCCTCGAGCGACTTTTGCTTCGCCCAGTTCGCACTGCACAGCCACGTGATCCACCCCGACCTCGATTTGACCTTCGGCTGCGTGCCCTTGACGTGCAGTGCGAGTGCCTAGATTTGCTGCGAAACGGTCTCGAACAGGCCACATTCATTTTGTCCCTCCACCTGCCTGGTGTGGTTTGCTCGAGGCGCCCCACGGACATGTCTTTACGGTAATATTTATCGTATTATGGCTAGTTGAGAACAAACTGTGCAAATGAACGCGATAAATGGTGAAGTTATTGAGTGCAATTTGTTTCAAGAGGTTTAATTTTATAGCATTATGTCGCACTAGGCACTGGATTTTGCGTCAAATGTATTTTTAGCCGTGCGATTTGATCACTGGTAGACAAAACTGGCGTCTTGTATTGTGTGTAATCAACCCATATGGCACGTGGAATTACTCATATGTAGCTTACACTACCGGCTTAAGAAGACTTAATAGAGGCGGTACCCGCCGTTAACAGCATAAAAGAGATCATCAAAATGAGTGGTCATGATTGAATAATTATTTCATATGGTCACAGCTACCATTCAGGGTAAATATCCGACCTAAAATTAACAAAATTTATGTGCTTCGCACGGTCAGGCTGCAAGGCTTTACTTATTGAGCGTTTTGGATATTTCCGAACACTGTGGTATAAATAGTGTTTCACAGTTCATGCATATTTCTTCTTTACGTGCAAGGTGGAAAATGGCCGCGTCGGATCCGTGAAATGTCTCAAACAGCATCGAAATCCTTTGGTGTCGTAGTTAATTCTGATCGTCATTCACTGTCACCCACGTGCACCAAACTACAATAAATGTTTGGAAAGATAGTGATGCATGCCGTTTTCTTCACCCCCAACATTAAATACCGACTTTTCCCTCAGATTTCATCCTCGATCTTTGTCTTTCCTCACATCCCGTGAAATGCGCATAATTCGGCGCATCTGAGATTACCGCATGCAGCGCGCTTATCCCAGCACTCTTGTCTCCGCAGTCAAGCGACGCAAATATGTTCCGCAATTCCATCCATCTCACATCTGTAGCAACATACTGTGCACCGTTCGATGTGCAAACAACCGTCCGCATCTGCAGCACCGTGGCAAACCTCTTGCGCTACATACTGAACGTCCTATTCCACCCCTCCATTTCCTGAATAAAAACGTACCTTTTGATTGAGCAACGTTTTGGAATTCAGGCAAATCGACACAACTAAATTATGTATTACAAGTTTGGAGTTCGCCGGAGGTGCACTGTCAAGCCATTTACTTCACACGCTCATGCTGCGGCATTCGCCCAACCTGGCATTAAATGGGCATCAATCAGGCATACTTATAACACACGGGGCCACTTTCACCCAGGCGTCGTCTACTGATCATGTGGGCTAATGACCCACCCAACGCGGAAGAAAGGCCCATCGTTCCGGTCTCGTGGTGCCCCTCTAGCGTCGCTTGCGTTTACGATGAACCTCCGTAGAGGTGACAAGGCTGTTTTTATGCAATTTGTGTTGAATGTAAAAATACACAACTTTTAGGGACAAACAAGAGCGGGCAAAGACAAGCAATCACCCAAATCATGCGAGGAGAAACCATGCAGACAGTTGCGTCGATTACAAAAAAGAATATGACTGTAGAAACGTGTCAGAAAAAGACTAACAAGACATATGAAAGTGAATCGTACTGTCTTGATGCGCTAAAAAGCTTGGATGATACCAGGCTGTATTGTTGAACGTTAGTAGCCTCAGGGTTGACAACGTTAGTCAGGATCGCACAGAAGTGCGGGTTCTTCCTATTCATTCGGCTTTACTCCCAAATATAAAAAGAAGTTTAACGGATATTGATTCAAATTTGGACATGCTTTAGGCAGACTTGTGCTTAAACCCAGGTGAAATGAACGCTGGTTTCGTGATGAACCGAACGTTACATTGGGTCCAGGTGTTGATTCTTTTTGAAAACTAGACAGAGCCCTTGTTCAGCCTGAAATCATTATTATCTGAAGCGAATTATCAGCCGACTTAGAAACTCTGAGATGTGTTATAGACGGAACATAAGATATGTTGGTGTCTTACCATCAAAACCGATACCAAAATTAAAATTACAAAATTGCTATCGAAAAAAAAGATTATTTGTTGACCATCACTACTATGCCGCTCGAATAAATGACTTGTTGACGAGTGATAAAACGAATTAACTTTCATCAAAGTAAGTGAGTTAACTATGTTGCTGAACATGCAACTGGGCATGCTATAAGCTGTGGGGCACTCGTCCCCCCCCCCCCTTCCCCACGCAATCCTTTACACAAAGCAACGCCCCTAGCGGGGAATACGAATTCACAATGGCCGTGGCCTTACGAAGTACCTGCTGTAACGGGGGACGGAATCCATGAGACAACAGGGCCACATTTCCACGGGAAGCCAGCACAATTTGATCGCATGCCTCACTTTAATGAGAGGCCACGGCCTCTAGCGGCCGAAACTAATGGATGCTCCCGGCGACGGTGGCAGCTCTGCTCGATGAAGAGTGACTCCGTCGTAATTGGACGGGCACGCCCTGGATGTATGCACGTGATTGATGTCCATCACGTGCGGCACCTTCCACGAGCAACGGCTCTTGCTCACGTGTGGAGCGGACTGCTCGAGGCTGGGGCATCTGGTACGTGCACCGCTGACACAACCAACGACAGTCCCGATGTGGTTCCGCTCGACCGATTGGACAGAAACAAGGTTTCGCCCACGTTTGATCGTGATGTTGAACGGGTGGTCGAACTGTAACTGGATCTTCTGTTGAAATGAGCTTTCAACCCCATATCCGGCGAGCCGATGACATCAAAGCATTCTGGTGAGGTGAAGTCTAAGTCCACCTCCAAATGCTCGGCGTTTCTAGACTTACTTCTGCGGGTATCTGATTACGCCGGCGTGCACCGGACCGCCCGCTGCTCCTGACCTGACTGCAAGCAGCGCGACACAGAGTAGCTCACCTAGCCTGCTGACGTTTGTCAGGCAAAGCCGTCTTTGAACTCTCGAAAGCTTACGAGCGGTGTAAGAGCGGAAAAATACATGTTAAATCTCTCTGTCGCGGCAAATGAGCTATGTGCCGTTGGCTTGAGAAATGTCGCCGACACGATGCTTCGACATTTGGTGAAATCGCACACCGACATGCGATGCTGTATGGAGATCTGAACACCACTTTTGCGACATACCGCCAGCGCCAAGGTTTTTTGGTGAGATGACCAGCTCGTGACTCGACCCAGGCCCAGCCGATGACATCATTCATACCCCGAACAGGGATGGTTGCATGAGGACTGCGCCACAATCTGATCGCAGTGGAAGATTGCATCTTATGCCGATGCATATGGACATTATCGTCTGGTCCCCAAATAGAAATGGATACTGTAACTGGATCAGACATCGCCACATAGGCACTAACACTGAACATAGCCCGGTGCGCCAAGACTCCCTGTTACCGATCGACGCCTAATGCGCTTCCCTTGCGCTCGGCGTGATATGCGACCGCGATATGGGGACCAGCTTACTGATGCTGTTGGCTCCGGGCCTGTTTGCTTTGGGTCTGAGTGTACCTGGCCAGATGAAGACCCGCCGGGGTTGCGACCCAGGTCCCGTGACTGCACCACACGTCGCGCATCAGACGGCTGTGACGCGGGCCACAACACTCTGTTTCACTGCGTGTATCAATATTTGCCGAGCCGCGATGATATTATGATTCCGTAGTGGGGCGCTTCTGTAAGCATTCGGCGCACCTGTCGCTGCTATGCACATTTCGTGAGTAGTGTCTCAAGTGCCAGTGTTACGCAGCTGCCGTGTTGTAGTACTCCCTCCTCTCCACCAGTGCTCTCTCCCCGTCACCAGTGCTCTCTCCCCGTCACCAGTGCTTTCTCCCTGTCACCAGTGCTCTTTCCCCGTCACCAGTGCTCTCTCCTCTTCACCAGTGCTCTCTCCCTGTCATCAGTGCTCTCTCCCCGTCACCAGTGTGCACATGAGGATGGGGTCATATGTCGCTATAGCCATGTCGATTATCGGAGACAATCAACCCAGCGGACTTCCCCCCCCCCCTTCACCCCCACACATATGACACCAAGATACTGACCAAAGCGCTTCGTTTAGGAACATGTGTTAAGTGCCGCTCCTCCTCGTCTGCCGACCCTTCCGGGTCCACTGTGCCTGTCCAGTCCCGGCATTCCTGCCCTCCTGCAAGGCGTCTCCCCTCACCTTCAGGCGACCAGCTGGGTGCGTCGCTCGAGCGGGGGAGCCGCCGAGACAGTACGGCAGCAGCGGCGTGCCGTCCCCTCACCGCACGGGAGCGGACCATCGCCGCCCGAGCAGGGGGGGGGGGGGGGGCGCCGAGACAGTACGGCAGCAGCGGCGTGCCGTCCCCTCACCGAACGGGAGCGGACCATCACCGCCCGAGCGGGGGAACCGCCGAGACAGTACGGCAGCAGCGGCGTGCCGTCCCCTCACCGTACGGGAGCGGACCATCACCGCCCGAGCGGGGGAACCGCCGAGACAGTACGGCAGCAGCGGCGTGCCGTCCCCTCACCGCACGGGAGCGGACCATCACCGCCCGAGCGGGGGAGCCGCCGAGACAGTACGGCAGCAGCGGCGTGCCGTCCCCTCACCGTACGGGAGCGGACCATCACCGCCCGAGCGGGGGAACCGCCGAGACAGTACGGCAGCAGCGGCGTGCCGTCCCCTCACCGAACGGGAGCGGACCATCACCGCCCGAGCGGGGGAACCGCCGAGACAGTACGGCAGCAGCGGCGTGCCGTCCCCTCACCGCACGGGAGCGGACCATCACCGCCCGAGCGGGGGAACCGCCGAGACAGTACGGCAGCAGCGGCGTGCCGTCCCCTCACCGTACGGGAGCGGACCATCACCGCCCGAGCGGGGGAGCCGCCGAGACAGTACGGCAGCAGCGGCGTGCCGTCCCCTCACCGCACGGGAGCGGACCATCACCGCCCGAGCAGGGGGGGGGGGGCGCCGAGACAGTACGGCAGCAGCGGCGTGCCGTCCCCTCACCGTACGGGAGCGGACCATCACCGCCCGACGAGCAGGGGGGGGGGGGGGGGCGCCGAGACAGTACGGCAGCAGCGGCGTGCCGTCCCCTCACCGCACGGGAGCGGACCATCACAGCCTGAGCGGCCCCGGCCTCGCACGTGAAGCCGGCGGCGGCACCAGACCGCGCGTCGATTATACATGCGCGCGGGAGGAGAACGTGCCGGGTTTGGAGTGATGCATACTCAGTGAGCCGGTCCCGGCCGGCACATGCTGTCGGTTGCGTATAGAGCGCCCCGGCCGGAGAAAGAGGCTAATTTTAGCCGACATGCGCCGAAGCGAGCGTGTTTGGAGGGCGGCGGGGCCCGCATGCAGCGGCTGGAGGGGGAGGGTCAGTGTCGAGGAGGGGGGGGGGGGGGGGGGGGTTCCGGCGCGAAAGGTCTTCCAACGATGCTTCAGATCGCCGTGTGAAGGCCGTAACGCATTGAAGAGCTGCTTACTGAGTTGTTCAAACGGGACGCCCCCATGAGCGCCCCGTAGGTGGTGGGACAATGGCTGACCGTATGCAATTTCGTGCGGTTCCGCCGCGTAGGTTGTTAATCAGCGATAACGCGAGTGACCGCCCACTCCGCCCACTCCGTCCTCGCTAAGTGTTCACGGCGCATCGCCCTTGCACCTTCCCGCCCACCGCCATATCGACCGCCCTGCACCACAGCATGACTCAGGTGCCCGTACAGTAAAGCCACAGCGTCCCTCCGTACGTGAATCAGCGACGCCGACCTGCACCAGCCCGCCGACTAACGGCTGACTGACCCGCTCGGCAGGCGGCTCAGCTGGAGCGGACGCGGCCCGACAAGGCGACCTTGACCCGGCCCGAGGAGGACCGCCGCCGGCGCACCATCCTCATCGAGAAGCTGCAGGGCTCCTTCGGCTTCACCATCCAGGTGAGGCGCGCCCGGACAGCGCAGGCGGCCAGCTGAGGCAAGGCGGCGCTGAAACCATTCGTCCGCTTTTGCTCATGTTTGCACCGGATTTACGAGAACAGCGACGCATCGGCTTTGTTTGTGCCCTGCTCCCAGGATGCACAGCGTTTATCTTCTCCGCCGCCGCGGCGACTGAGATGCAGGAAAATAGGGAATAGGCGCAGCTCAATGCGCTGCTCTCTCCCCTCACATCGTGCACGGCAGCAAAAGATTGGGAAATTTCATCTTAGCTCAGAACGCTGCCCGGACTTCTTATGGCCATGCAAAGAGTAAACTGGAACGCAGCCAATGAAGTGTCTCTAAGTAAATAACAGAATTCGCTTATGATAGGTGCCGAAGTGGTCAATGGGGAGTCATTTGTTTACGTATCTCATGACGTGCGTTTTGTACGGGAGGCTCGAAGCAAGGCCCGTCTGGTCCGGTTTCCTGCCATCGCCTCGTTAAACCCAGTGGGAATTATCAGATCAGATCTCCTGTTGCCTCAAGGCGGGTGAAAAGACCAAATTGTGCTGTAGCGTTTTCCTCGGATGCTGAAGTATTGCAGCTTTGATTAAGACCATGGGAAGCCGTCACATGTGCCCTAAGCGTTGCCTCATGAGTGCGCCCAGGTCCGTAGAGGTTTTAGTTTCATGGCCACTGGACTTCCGCAGTGTCAAACAGTGGTTGGGAAAGACGCACGCCTGCTACGCGACGCTGGCTGCTGTGCCTGTGCTGGCTGCTGTGCCTGTGCTGTGCGCTATCACAGCTGCAGACCGCCGGCAGCACTCGGTCGTCACCGGGACCCCGGCGGGGTCGTGACAGATCTACGCCATTGGCTAGCTGTCACGACGCCGGCGGTCGTTTGCCGGTGTGATAACACGCAAGTGCCCTTGACACTAGTAATAACACTACACTAATAATGCTGCACGAACTGTCTCTATGTCCAGCTGTCTCTAGAAAATACGCTAGCAAAATATTGCGATGTGGCTTGTTCTTGTTCGATGAACATGCTTAGACAACTCACCCACTGGCGCAGTGGCGCAGACAGGAGGGAGGGGCACAGGGGGCACGTGCCTCCCCGCTTAGGCTTCGAGGGGCCATCGAGCCGCTCAGAACCTACGATTAGGAGCCCGAAAAGCCAGCCGGAGGTCTCATTCAGGGGCCCCGGCTTCAGAGCGGTGCACTCCTATGTCAGCCAGAGGGCCCTAAGTGGTGATCAGGGACCCACTGGGTCGATAAGGGCCTATATTTCGTTCAGACGCCACTAGTAACGCGCAGTAGGCTCTGTGGCGGCATGGGCCTGAGGGACCATTTCCCAAGCAGGGACAGGGCCGGAGCCAGCGATTTGCATTGTTCGGAGACCCAAAGCGCCTAACAGGAGCCCTGTGTTGTCAATGGGCCCCGAGTCGGCCAAAGGCGGCCAAAGGCGTGGACGCACGAAGAGCTCAGAGGGCCTACCGGGTCCGATGATCAAGGGCCCGATTGAAGAGTCTAATAAGGGCATAAAGGGCTTGTCGCAGTCTTATCCAGGGGCCCCGACCTGCGAAGACGGAGCCACAAGTAAGGGGGCAGAGGGGCCTTTACGCCGATTTGGGACCCCTGAGTGGATATGGGCCTATATGTCGGTCAGGTGCCACCGTACCACATAGTCGGCTGCGTGTCGGTATGGGCCTGAGGACCTACTTACCAATCAGCTATAAAGCCGGGACCAGTGATTTACACTGTCGGAGATCTTGTATTTGTCAGGGGTCCATAGCGCCTAACAAAGGGCCTTGTGCTCGAAAGGGCTTCGAGCCGACCAAGGGAAGTGTTCGATGAGGCCCTTATAGGGCCCAGGGCGGCCCACCGGAACCGACGATGAAATGCCCGGTTGGAGGGCTTAAGGGCCTGAAGGACTGGCTATAGGTCACATAAAGAATCGTAGTAGCCCCGTAAGACCGGACCTGAAATATCAGCCAGAGGTCCTCTTGCACCGATTGAGGAACCCTGAGATAATGTGGGTGTTTAAGTCGGTCGGAGACCACGAACACCCATGTCCGTCTGAGCTCTTGAGACCCACTTCCCAAGCAGAAACGAGGCCGGGGTCCGTGATTTGCAATGTTCGGGGTCCCTGACACAATGAGAGGCTCCTGTATCGATTAGGGGTCACAATACCGAACAGAGGTCTTGTAGCGGCAAATGACCCAGAGTCGGAGCGGTTTTTGAGTGGCCGGAAAAGGTTTCTCGAGACCAAAGGTCAAGGGCCTGATGAGATGGCTGGAGGGTCCGAAGGACTGGCTGCAGGTCATGTTAAGGACGCCCGCCCATAGGGTCGTGATCTTAAATGTCAGTAAGATGATTTCTTACACCGATAGTGACCTCTGAAACAGAGCGTTCCTCTTTTTTGGCCAGAGATCGCTAACAAGGATAAGTCGTCTCCGTTTCGGTCTGAGCTCTGGAGCTCATTTTCCAAGAAGGGACAAGGCCGGGCCCACGATTTGCATTGTCGGGCTCCTGTATCGTTCAGGTGTCCACAATGCCTAACGGGATATTCTATGTCAACAAGGGGCCTCGAATCGGTCAGGGGAAGATTCGCTCAACGGAGACGGGGACGGGGGCCCGAATGACAGGGGTCTCTTGCGTCGGTCGGGGCGCTCTGACAATTGAAGGAAACAAGAGAACTGATGATGAGTGCTATGTTGAGGTAACAAGGGAGTCCTGTGTCGGTCAGGGCCCCCAGTACGGAACGGCGGGCTCACCTATTCCTATTCCAACATGGGTCGTTAAACCAGCTGGAATCTATGTGCCAATTATTTGAGCACCTGCTGCAGGCGGGAATGTTGTTGCGTTAATGAGGGTTCGTGCGTCAATCCAGGGTCAACTGCGCGAGTCAGAAGGCCTCCCGCCTCAGTGAGCGGATTAAAGTGATATGGTGCATCCCTCCAAGGGCCTCCGGATCGACCGGGGGATGCCGCCCCGTGTCACCAGAACGACGGCCGGAAGACACCCTGCGATGGGACAGAATGGCCATTTAGCCCCTGACCGGGAACAATAATGTGTTCCGTAGTGTTGTACTTAGTGGGCCGCCTTACCGGTAAGAAATAAGGGGTCCCATTAGTGCTCAATGGAGTGGGTCGAAATGGGACACGCAGAGGGCCTTCCCATGTTTCCCTGAAAACGCCCATTCTTTGCAGGATCGACGAGTGGAACAAATACCATCAAAAGGTTTGAGCCTACGCTGTGGGTGCCGATAGTGTAGTAAAAAACGCTCCTGCGTTAACCACTGTGCGTCTGGGAAACCACAGGTACGGGTTTCGATTCCCCACGGTGCCCGTCCTTCTCTCCAGGGTGAGAGGCGGGCGGCGCCATCTAGCCCCAGCAGCTGAGCGCGTCATAAAGTTCCAACGACACGTCCGCAATTTCGGGGAGCAAGGTTAGCGATGGCTTGGGTCGCAGGTTTCACAAAGCCGAACGGCGTTGGCCACCGCAGGTGACGCCAGGGGGTGGGCGCCCAGCGCGCGACAATGATTATCGTAAAATAATGCTCATGAATTCTTTCAAAATTAATTCGTACAGTTCAAAGATTACGCTGCGCGAATCTGTTTCTTACGACTTGGAGGTTATCTATCCTCTGGACAGATTAACAGTTATGGCAATACGAAAGTAGAGATTTTGCATTTCTTCTTCCAGTTCAATCGCCAGATTCCAGCACCTTTTCGCGGTGCTGTGAAGACCGATGCGTTATTGTTATGAATCTAAACACTGCGCAGGTGAAATATACGCCGAGAATATCTCTAAAGGCACGATTTGGTGTCCAAAAGCTTTCAAAGATACTTCTTTCAAATGCGTCGACATTTTCGTTCACCCGTGGGCCATGGCCCCAACCGCGGGGCCGACGCTGCGTGGCCTAAGGAGACTGCAACGCCTGGCGTCGAGCTTTTTGTTTCGAAGAGATGCGAGCACATGTGGTCAAAACTACGTCACATGATTTGCACCACTTATCAGTTCTGACTGAATGTTAAAGATATCCAGACAAACATGGCTTGGCCATGCTAATACAAATTGTTCACCCATTTTTATCTTTAATCTACATTCACGGAATCCTCCTTATATCTGTACAACCCAGATCAAAGTTCTGGCGATGTTTTTTAGTTTTATTGGCTTAAAAAGAGTCCACTGAACCATTGTTAACTGAAGAGCGCCAGCGAACCATTTCATGCAGTCATTTAACGCATGATTGATCAGTTTATTTGCCATAAACTTAGAGCAGAATTGGTCTCGCGGTAACTTTTGAATGATATTCCAATTATAAGAAGGAACAATGCATTTTATATGTATATATATATATATATATATATATATATATATATATATATATATATATATACATGTATATATATATATGTATGTATATATATATATCTCTCTCTCTCTCCCTCTCTCTCTCTTTCTCCCTCTCGCTCTCTCTCTCTCTCTCTCTCTCTCTCTCTCTCTCTCTCTCTCTCTCTCTCTCTCTCTCTCTCTCTCTCTCTCTCTCTCTCTCTCTCTCTCTCTCTCTCTCTCTCTCTTTCTCAGTACAACCCGGATCAATACTATGTATACATATATATGGTCTCATTTATAATTTCGATTCCAGTTCCATTGTACATATAATAGCAAGTGGCCATATCCGGGAATTTTTGGGAGGCCCTTTTGTCAACCCTGTGCCCCCTTTGCCAAGGCTCTGGCCGCGCCGCTGCACTGGTGCCGAGCCAAGGGTGATGATGGGTTATCGTGACCTTTGCGACGATCGTAAACTTGAGCAGCTATGAACGATTGTCCGTTGAATATGGAAATCATCAATCGATTAATCAAAACCTCACGGATACGCCGTGTGAATGACGTCAAAAAACAGTTTGAGGTAGTTGCTTATGCATCGTTTATCAAACGAATGCATTTTGCGCCCTTATCATGCGCACGAACGTTCAGTGGAACAGTAGCAGCCAGCATGCACCCACAGGGTAGATTGGGAGGAGCGAACAGAAGCAGCTAGCCTGCACCCACAAGATGGATCAGGAGTGGACACGTCTTTTTAAATACAATTATGTCCTATGCGTCTGAACTGCAATGTAAATGGTGTCCTAGGTTCACAATCTGCCGTCCGTTTCTGGCGGAATTATTCGGAAACTGCGCGTACTTCAGCGACTGAATTAAGTTCCTGAATACGTGGTTTGTTTCCTTACCCCAATCACCAAATCGCCAGTCGACGCTAATCCTGAGTATTAGTCAACAAAAAATCCAGTTCTGGTCTCGCGAAGTGAAAGAAATGCTTAATTTCGTATGACCTTCGTCAGACGCTCCGGCCTCTGTTTCGCGGCGCCACGCCGGCGGCGGAGGCGCGCCACCACGAGCGCACGGCGCCGGCTCCTGCTGGAGCTTGTGGCAGTGGGCGCAGCGCCAAGAGGGGCCGGGGGGGGGGGGGCGGGGGGAGGGGAGGGGATCGGCAGGGTGCAGCTGGCAGGTGCGGCACGCCAGCTCGCGGCCTCCAGCAGAGGCTGGGGTCCGCACGCCAGGCATGCCTCTCGCGTGGATGACGCAGTTCTCGATTTGCGCCAGGTTCCGCATCTTCCCGGATTCTTCCCAGCACTCGTAATGCAAACCCGTGACGTCAGCTGCGAGGTGTGAGGAGAGCTTATGCAGCAGGGACTGCGTCCGAACCATTTTCCGCACGAGCGCGTACCCTAGCGCCCCCGGATGACTCATCTGCCGGCGGCGACGCTGGTACCCCCGCTAACATTTGATCGCGCACTGCGCAGTGCCACGCCTGGGGACTGTTGTACAAGGCATCCAGCGGGAACCCGGCTGTTTAGGTGTCCGGGGGTGGCGCCGGAGAGTGCAGAGGGCGGCTGTCGACCTGTTTGTATGTCAAGGCCGCCCCGGCGACAGGTGCCACGTGGGGACGGGACGAGTTTGGCAACCTCACTCCAAAAACAGGCGGCGTGAGCCATCATGCGTATTCAGAATTTCGCCGCTTGGTGGCCGTTTGCAAATATGACTGCAGCGACGAACAGGAGACCATGACAAACACTGCAGATTCATAAACGTTACGTTTTTGTAAGCTAATTTAAATGACCTATGATTTGACCAGATAATATGAAAAAATAAATAATACGAAAATACGAAAACGAGTGTGTGTGTGTGTGTGTGTGTGTGTGTGTGTGTGTGTGTGTGTGTGTGTGTGTGTGTGTGTGTGTGTGTGTGTGTGTGTGTGTGTGCGTGTGTGTGTGTGTGTGTGTATTCGTGCGTGCGTACGTGCGTGCGTGCGTGTGTGTGCGTGCATGTGTGCATGGGTGTGTGCGTGCGCGTGCGTGCGTGCATGCCTGTGTGTCAGCGCGCCTTCAAGTCACCTTCAGCGACTCGAAGCATGCGTTCCTTCAGCGTGAGCTAGGTGTTCCATGACTAGGCACGGCTGGTATGAGCGACGTGCTCTGCGCACTGCCAGTCATAACATCACTCAAGCTCATGTGATGCGGATAGCCAGGGCCGCCCGTCCGGCATGCCGGCACATTTGTACCGCGTCACTGCAGCTGTTGAGGTCACTGTCTGCTGTTTACGTGTGCTTGTGAGTGCGAGGTGTGTACCAACAGTGCGTTATCGTGCTTGTGAGCGCGAGGTGTGTACCAACAGTGCGTTATCGTGCTTGTGGGCGCGATGTGTGTACCAACAGTGCGTTATCGTGCTTGTGGGCGCAAGGTGTGTACCAACAGTGCGTTATCGTGCTTGTGGGCGCGATGTGTGTACCAACAGTGCGTTATCGTGCTTGTGGGCGCGATGTGTGTACCAACAGTGCGTTATCGTGCTTGTGAGCGCAAGGTGTGTACCAACAGTGCGTTATCGTGCTTGTGAGTGCGAGGTGTGCACCAACAGTACGTTATCGTGCTTGTGAGCGCGAGGTGTGTACCAACAGTGCGTTATCGTGCTTGTGGGCGCGATGTGTGTACCAACAGTGCGTTATCGTGCTTGTGGGCGCGATGTGTGTACCAACAGTGCGTTATCGTGCTTGTGGGCGCGATGTGTGTACCAACAGTGCGTTATCGTGCTTGTGAGCGCAAGGTGTGTACCAACAGTGCGTTATCGTGCTTGTGAGTGCGAGGTGTGCACCAACAGTGCGTTATCATGCTTGTGAGCGCGAGGTATGTACCAACAGTGCGTTATCTGCCCGCGTAGAGTCGCGTTTTAGCATTGTGCCTGTCATCCTGTCGGTCGCTTAGGGAAACGACCATCCCACGGTCATGCCACGTGTTGCGGTCTGCAACACGCACATGATGCCTGTTACATTCCTTGACCATCCTCTTGGCGGACGCGTTACTGTACAGATACCCACACCCGCCTTCACCCCGTGTTAAAACTTGAAAACGAGCCAGATCGCTCCACGAAACCTCAAAACAGAACCGATTTAAACAGAAACGGCCAGCAAATTATTTATATTCGCATATTGTGTGCTAATTTGGAAGTCGCCTTTCAAAACTGTTAGCGCATGTCACAGGGCATCATTTACGAGCATAGCCATCGATGACGGAGCTCTCGGTTTTAACTCTCGTGGGTTGCAATTCTTTCCCTGAGTTGTCATTTTTCACATCATATTCGTCGTCGTCATTGGGGCTTTACGACGCACTTAGCTGCTGAGGCAGTATGGTGTTGCCTGCCTCTCACCCTGGCAGGAAGGGTGGCACCGCAAGGAATCGAACCCGTGCCACAGGCTTCCCACACACCATCAGCTACCCGACCCCGCATCGCATCGAATAGGACATAAACCAAACAGCACGACTGGTGATGTACATACCATGAGATGACATGGAAACAAGATTCGTAACTGTGATTATGATTACGTTAACGCCGCGTAAGCCTTTATATTTCGATCTCATGATAAGCTCAATAGCTCGTTATCAGCAGTTTTTTTTCTGAAAAACTCATAATAGTTATGTTGTCATTAGACCAATAAGAGCACCGAAGCCCATGTTTCTGTCTATTCGCAGACCTCGCCTGAGTTTAGCTCCAGATGAGGCCAAATGACCGTGTATTTTCGTCGCCGGCAGAGCTACGGTATCCAGTACCGTCGCGACACCGAGGTGGAGATCATCACCTACATTGATCACGTCGAGCAGGGCGGACCCGCCGCCAAGGCCGGCATGCGCGAGGGTAGGTCTGCGCTGCTCTGCGGCGGTCTGCAGTGGTCTGGAGGTCTGGTGGCATGCCGGTGCGGTGATCCAGAGGTCTGGCGGCATGCTGGTGCGGTGGTCCGAAGGTCTGGCGGCATGCTGGTGTTGTGGTGCGGAGGTCTGGTGGCATGCTGGTGTGGTGGTCTGGAGGTCTGGCGGCATACTGATGTGTCCGCCTGCTGGTCTGGTGGTCCGGAGGTCTGGTGGCATGCTGATATGGTGGTCTGGAGGTCTGGTGGCACACTGATGTGTCCGCCTGCTGGTCTGGTGGTCCGGAGGTCTGGTAGCATGCTGGTGTGGTGGTCCGGAGGTTTGGTGGCATACTGATGTGTCCGCCTACTGGTGCGGTGGTCCGGAGGTCTAGCGGCACGCTGGTGTGGTGATCCAAAGGTCTGTTGTTCCGCTGACAAACCGACTGCTGGGGCCACCTGGGTGAGCCCTCTGCAGGCCACACACTTGTCCTACCGGCTCACAGCCGCCTGCTAATCTTGTCTTTGCTTCCTGATTTACCCAAAACTTTTGTGGCGTATGTTGGGGTTGTGTGGAACAGCCGATTATTGGCCGATAAATAGTGTGTGTGTGTCTGTGCGTGTTTGGTGATAATGATGGATAATCTAGCTCAGTGAGTCCTTGTGTACACTGGCCAGCTCCAGCGGATGTGACATGAAACCTCGTTAAGATCATCAGCTGATGGCTGTGATGCAACGGTCTCATGGGATCAACAAGTAATGGGTGTCTGACGCAACCCGTACCTGTTACTGCAACTTTGCCTTGATAAATGACGAAAGTTCAGATCCTTATTCCTCGGAGAAAAAAAAAACCAGGAGAATGGAGATGCAGTTGGATTGATATTTCAACGTGCCTTTATCGGCACAATGCGGCAACATGCCTTCATCGAAACAATAACAGAAGTGAATTCACTTATGCTATTGTATAGAAGTATTGTAAGACTTCTGCTTTTGTTTCGATAAAGGCATGTTGCCGAAATATCAACCCAACTATATTTCCATTCTCCTGGTTTTCTCCAGAGGAATAAGGTATTACTATTGTCTTATCTATGTGAATACTGTTCCTCGCTAATGCACTGAACAACTTACATGACGAAAGCCGGTGAGCTTCGGCTCTCTCGGAGTGTGTCACGTATTCTCAGCGTCATGATGACGCTCTTCCGCGTTCGCAGGTGATGTCATCCTCTGCATCAACGGTCAGGACATGGAGCAATACGACCACCAAGCTCTGGTGGGTTTCATCAAGCAGTGCCCAGACCGGTTACGAATGGTCGTCTTGTTCGAGGACTGCGTGAGGAAGGTAACTGCGCCGGATCCGTCGATGCGTGGAGAACGGTACAGCGACTGCTGCCAATTCTGATGATGCAGTAGCTGTACGCGCAAACACCAACGTCCGTCGCGCCTTCCGCGCTGGACGAACGTGATGAATCCACATGCGTGAATGTAAATACGAGAGTGGCGTTGGGAGACACTGGCGGAGACCACACGCGCGCGTCAGATGGCGTGACGGGCAGGACCTTCGGCCGGTCACTGCTTGTCGCTGTTCATGACTGCAGACGCAAGGCCGATTACCTACGGGGAGCCTCCAAATAGAACCAAACGCTTCCAGTCTTACGCTTGATATTGCGTCTAATGCGACCTCCTGCATCCTGTGAGTTTGAGCTGAGTTTGACCCGGTGTGACCGCGGCCGCAGGTGAGCCTGCACATGCGGTACATCCAGCTGCAGCGGCAGCTCACCGACAGGATGTACGCGCTCGAGCAGCTCTGCGAACAGGAGAAACACTTCATCGCCAGTTAGTGAACCCGCGCTGGCGTAGTGTAGCTCTTGATACGCTGGTTTGATTTGGCATGATCACATATATCTACGATCGTTTCCACAGCGGACCATTCATACTCGATAAAGTTGTTTATGTTTTGTAATGTCTCACATCCTGGTCAGACAAGACTGACAATAGTCTATGGTTATGGGTCTTAATTTTGTCCGATTCAGGATATACCCTTTGCAATTGATTGGGCCTCATTTGAATCATTCACGGCGTCGCGTAACGACGGGTCAGGCCGTCGTGGTTCTGTTCGTGATTATGTCATTCAAAAGGGCAATGTCTTAATTCAAAACCATGACATTCAAAGGAGGGCGATGCTCAACAACCCTTGAAGCTGAGTGATCCCTAACGTCCCACCCTGCACGGCCCGATCTCCCTGCCTGACGCCGCTCTGTCCACGCTGTCCTCCCCTTGTGACGCCGCTCTGTGCGAGCTGCCCTGCCTCTGTGATGCCGTTCTGTCCGAGCTGTCCTTCCTCTATGACGCTTCTCTGCCTGAGCTGTCCTGCCTCTCCGACGCCGCTCTGTGCGAGCTGTCTTGCCTCTATGACGCCGCTCTGTCCGAGCTGTCCTGCCTCTGTGACGCCGCTCTGTGCGAGCTGTCCTACCTCTGTGATGCCGCTCTGTGCGAGCAGCTCTGCCTCTATGACGCCGTTTTTGCCGGGCAGGTCTGCGGGCGCAGGGCCGCCGCGTGCCCGCCTTCTATCCGGCGCAGGCGGGCTACGGCGGCCGGGCGTCGGCGTCGCAGCTGCCGCACGGTCCGCCGCCCAGCTACGCCGAGGCCGTGGGCCGCCGGCCGGCGGCGCGCTACCTCTGCTACCACCGGCGGCCGGGCGAGCCGCGCTGGCCGCCCGAGCCGCGCCGGCCGCCGGAGCCGTGGCGCGGGCGCGGCCAGTCCTGGGATAACCTGGCCGGCGAGGCGGCGCGCCGCGAGCCGCGCTGGCGACCGGACGCCGGCGACCGTCAGCTGCTGCTCGACGGCGGCTTCCCGGCGCTGCACCGGGCGCGCGCCAAGGCCGCCAAGTCCGCCGAGAGCCTGCTGGCACCCGGCTCCGAGTTCGACACGAGCTGCTTCAGCTGCGACTGTCTGCGCACGTTCCCGGGCGAGCCACGCAGGCCCTTTACCAAGCCCAAGTCGGTCGAGAGCCTGCTGGCGGCGGCGCGCGGCGGCGGCGGCGGCGGCGGAAGCGGCAGCGGCAGCGGCAGCGGCAGCGGCGGCGGCGGCGTTGGCAGCGGGGGTGGCAGCGGCGGCGGCGGCGGCAGTGTGGACTCGATCCGGAGAGAGAAGCGGCGCTCCAGTCTGAAGCTGGGCCGCAGGGGCTCGCGCTCGGCGCTCGTGCCGGGGGACGACTCGAGCGAGCGCTCAGAGCGCGTCTGACAGCCAGACCGGTAGCCGGGGACGGCGTCCGCTGGGTGCCGCTCCAGCAGCGCCCGACCGGACCGGTAGCCGGGGACGGCGTCCGCTGGGTGCCGCTCCAGCAGCGCCCGATCGCGCCCACCCACAGGCTAACGGCGGCTATCTGAATCCATTGAGACGCGGTCTCTGGCTGCCTGCAATGCAGCTCTCGTTGACCCCGGGCGTTGGAGGTCACTGAGTGGTCCTCTGGCTCAGGTCGGTGTTGACAGCGCGAACGACCAGTGGGCGTCATGCCCAAACTTTCTCGGAGGTGGACTCTGGAGGGTCGATCTCCGACTGCGATGACTGCTGCCAGAGCTCAGTTGCACGATATTGCTGTGCCGCTGCCAGCGCTCTGTTCGCTACTCTTCAACGAGATGCCAAAGTTAGTGCTTCGTTTTCTATCTCCATGCAGCATCCGTATCTTCCCGTTGATAGAGGTCGCCGCGGGGCAGTCTTCGAACTTTTTACCCTCATTGAGCTCCGTTTGGTGGCGTGCTATGACGAGCGCCACCCCCAGACCTGCTCCGCGATCGAGAAGTCGGGTATGAGAGTCGTGATGAGCAAGCTCTCGGGCTGCTCACCCTAGGTCATAATTGATCGGTGCACGGCGGGGCGTGGCGGCGCAGTGCGACTCATGAAGCCAAATGATGGGAATGTGGCACTGCCATCTGGTGTCTCTTTGTTGCGAGCGCCTCCGCGGGCGGAGATTTTCATTCCGTGTTCGGTTGGCGCAGGTTTGTGATGCACCTCCCCCGGTGGTGTGCTGCTGTGTGAGACGCGCCGCGGCGACATCCGGGCCCGGGCGACCCGGGGCCGGTCCCGCCGCGGGCTCGTGACTCGGCCTCCGCCTTTTCGGGGCGTCCTTGATAGTTTACACCCTGTTTGTGTGACCGTATGCGAGGTTTTCTCGTATGTGGGAGGAACGAACTGCTTCGTAGATTGGTTTCAGACAGCTTTAATGCCCTGGTTATGTTATTTATTGTGATGCGTTAGAGCTAATGTCTTTAAAAGAAGAAACATATGAATAGTGAAAACGATGGCTTTCTGTTTTGATGAGAAAACTCTGCAAAGAATATGTATGTTTATTTGCTCACCTAAAAAAGTTGCAATCGGCCAGGGGCACATCCACATCGAAAAGCCCATGCGAGCATTAGGCCTACGTGACGTTCATAAAACTCTAAAAAAACAAACAGCACACTGACACAATACAACTGTAACAAAGCAACACGAGCTTCGTAAAATTGGCACATGTCAAAATGCGGGGCTTCACGGAAACAGCTGCGGGATGTTGGCTGTGGGGGGGGGGGGGGCAACACGTCCTGCCTCCGCCACCAGGACGCACCCCGCCCCACACCCTGACTCCGCCTCCAGGGCACGCCCCGCCCACACTGGGCGGGGCGTGCGGAAACGTCAGCACAAGCGCGCAGCAGGTCGCAGACAGGTGGAAAACGTGAACAGCTGGCTAGTGACGTCACTAGACCGGTGCAGTCGTCCTCTGCCTCGCAGGGCTCAGCTCGGGGGCCCAGCCCGCCGTTGCCGCATCGCCCACCGCGCCCCTCGGCGGCCCGGCACGGCACATGTCGAGCTGCCGTGTCTCAAACGCAAGTATGGAAGGAATGTTAAGACTTGATCCCCGGAGTTACTAAGGAACAGCTGCCAAACGTTCGAAACACACTATATATGCATATGTATATCACATCTGGGAGCTGATCGATTAGCGGTTCCATCGCGACCTCGTTTGTAAACACTTAGCGATGCACTCAGTCATGAATAGTTAGTACTCCCTTCCGTCTTACAATTACCTATGGCAGTCCCCGAAGTATTAATTACGCGCAGCTACGCACGACTCGACAACCGAGTGCGTCACAGTTACAGGCACTCTAGTTTGAAAGGCTTCGTACAGAATTCACTTCTTCTTAACCGCCTTTTCGACTAATTTCTCTGCCTTCTTTTGTAGCTTGTCCTTCTCCTTTTTCTCCTTCTCGGCCTGCTTCTTATCACGCGCTATTTGCAGTTTGAGTTCTTTCAGCTTGCGCTTCACCTGCAAGCGACACGAGTCACCGGCCGCCAACACACGACTGAGATCGACTAGAAAACCGTATGCGAACGAATACTAAGCACTCAGGGTCCAATCGATTAAAAAGATCAAATATTTAACGCGTAAAGGCACCACGTTTGTGGAAGACAACTTTACGACGTATGGTACACACATGCCACATCTCAAACCAAGCCCAGAGCCATTTGCGTGTCCTTGACCTACCTTGACCTTGTCATCGCCGTCGAGACCAAGCTGTTTAAACTGTTTGGAGTCGAGAGTGAGCAGGTGTGCGCCACTGATGTTCTGGTCCATGAAGGTTGCGGTGTGCTGCTCCAAGCCCAGTGCCAGAAGCCACTGTCCCACCTGACAGTATCAGAGGGGTCAGCGGGCGGTCACCAGGGTCACAGGAGGGACATCAAAAGGGGTCAGCGGGCGGTCACCAGGGTCACATGATGGTCATCAAAAGGGGTCAGCGGGCGGTCACCAGGGTCACATAGGGGTCATCAAAAGGGGTCAGCAGACGGTCACCAGGGTCACATGAGGGTCATCAAAAGGGGTCAGCGGAGGTCCCCAAAGTCACAGGAGGGTCATCAAAAGGGGTCAGCGGGCGGTCGCCAGGGTCACAAGAGCGTCATCAAAGCCAACAGATGCATACCCCAAAGGTCCGTGTCAAGCCGGAAATATGTGGAGGTACCTACACTCCTGTATTTTATCGTTCTCTGAGAATGCATTTTCGCCCGCTACGTTTATATCAGTTCGCTTTCTATGTAAGATTGGCTAATGTCAAGATTCTTGTAGGTCCAACTTATCAAATCCTATATGCTAGGAGGATAGTGTGGCTATGACGCTGAAAAGCAAAAAGCGAATGGTCCAGCATTTGGACATCTAAATATGTTAACCCAAAATGTTTTAACACTTGACAACATCTCCCAGACTTTTAATATTTTCGCCGGAAGACATTAACCTACTACCATCATCACCAACAAGTTTGCTGTTCGCTATCATCAAGTCGATAACCTATGCAGTCAGAATAAATGCGATGCTTGTATTACGTTGCAGCGCGGCTTTACGAGCGCGGATTTACGATTTAATTAATTATCGTACAAGCGGTGCCAACTGCGGGGTTTTCCTCTCAGCGCGTAGGGTGGGGGTGGGGTGGGGGGGGGGGGGGACTGCAAGCGGACGGGGAGGGAGGGACAAACGGCCTTCTGGGTACAATGGATTTACTGAACAACGGAATAATGTTGTCTAAGTCCACCGTAGTTTCACTCAAAGGAGCCGAGTAGCAGAATCATAAGTTAATGGCGCCGTGGCGTGGCATGAATGCTTCCAAATGGTTCCTCCCGCAAATAGTTCATGGGTTGCACAGAAGCGATTGCTACTGCGGCCAAGTCGGGTCAGCTCACAGCAGCCAACTCGGACACACGGCGCGGGGTCACGTGACGACGCGTGTTCCCGTCCGTCACGGTACGTCACGTCACCCATCACGCCAACAGAGCTGGGGCGATGACCCCCCAGGTCTGGGCAGGACCGGGACGGCACGGGTGGTCCGGCCGGCACTGCCAGCAGCCGAAGGGAGAGAAACACTTACAGTACCACGCAGAAACCATATTTTTGGTCAGAGACTGGGCAGATAGAACCAAGCACCAACTGGGTAGATAAAAACGGCACGCAGCGAGTGCCAACAGACGATTTTCTATGAAGGCACGTTCAACCAAGGCACGTTCAACGTGAGCACATCCAGGCATCTCACTGCTTTGCTTCTCAGTGCGCATGGCAACGAATTATTTACTAACTCAGAAATTCACTGATGAGCAAAGCAGACTCTGTTTACCAAAACACGCTTCAGGCTTTAGGTGCACAAGCATTTCGCAACCAGCGAAAGCAAGAGCCGCCCCACACTGAGCAGCTTCATTTTGCGCATCAGAGCTGACCGGACCGGCCTTTGGACAGCGCCGTCTATCGGCAGCAGCCAGTCCGGCTAGGGCGCGCCACTGACCTGCTCCTTGGACCAGTCGTGCACGGGGCCGCCCTGCCACACGTGGGGACCGGGCCGCTTGTGCTCGCCGGCGACGGCCGGCACCGCGCCGGCCGCGCTCCCCGACGACGGAGAGAACGAGGCCGCGTGCAGGTGAGATGGCCGGGGCAGCGGCTGCTCGTCTGCAACGGCCGTTCGCCCACGGTCAGTGTTACTGTCACCGTCACCGTCACCGTCACCATCGCGGGCCACCCACGACCAGCTCCGTCACGTCACGGTCACGGACAGGTCACTGGAAGGTCACCGAGACTGGCCTCCTTTGATCAGTCGGTGCATAAGCAAATAACGGCCCGTCGGAGGCTGCCGTCAACTGGAAGACATATGAAAGCCAGGTCACAATAAGGTCAAGGACGGATTACCATCGGACCAGTGGGGTCAAGGTGACGCATAAGGCACACACCAATCAGATCACAGTCGTGTCAGGGTCGAGGTAGTTGCAGAGACGTCAAGGTCATATCACGGTCAGGTTAGATCAGATCACAAGACCAAGAACCTGTCAAGGTCGGGTCCCCATCGCGGCAGTGTCGTGGTCAGGTCGGAGCTAGACCCTGTCAGGCCACGGCCCCGCTCCGGAAGTTAACGGACACCTCAAGGTCACGAACGTTCGGGTCAGGTCGCGCTCACGTCACCGACGAATCACACTCGGAATCCGTCCACGACATTCTGAAAAGGTCCTTGGGCACATCCGCAAGAAGCTCTTCTCACTGCGCAGGACCTGCCCATGCGCATGTTTCTTGAGCAGATCGCCCTCGCAGGGTCGACAACTTTCGAAACCACTGAGCAGAAAACATCCAAGCAAAAACTGCATTGAATGCAAAGGGTAGTCTGTAAATTACGTTACGAATGTTCGGCGGTTTTTCAACATTCCCTCCTCTGGTCACGCACTGGGCCCGCTACACTAAGCGTAATATCCAAAAAGATAATGTCCCCTGGACATTTCACCACTACATGACAGTGTGAAAAACTGAGGCGCTACCGGTCCCAAGCGCCGTGTGGTGTACTCCTCCGCGCCGTTCCCACCTCTGGTCTGCGGCGCAGGCAGGCTGGTGTCCAGGGGTCTCTGACTGAGCAGCACGATACCGCCGCCGTCAGGCTTCCTAGCGCCGGCGTTCTCCCTGGGTCCGCCACCCCTGGAGACGGGTGCCTCGCCCGGCGGGTACTGCTGGCCCTGCCACACCGAGGAGGAGCCTGGCCGCCGGCCCAGAGCACCGGTCACACGGGCTGGGGCACGGGTCACAAGGGCAGGGGCACGGGTTACAAGGGTTGGGGCACGGGTCACAAGGGCTGGGGCACGGGTCACAAGGGCAGGGGCACAGGTCACATGGGCTGGGGCACGGGTCACAAGGGCAGGGGCACAGGTCACATGGGCTGGGGCACGGGTCACAAGGGCTGGGGCACGGGTCACAAGGGCAGGGGCACGGGTCACAAGGGCTGGGGCACGGGTCACAAGGGCAGGGGCACGGGTCACAAGGGCTGGGGCACGGGTCACAAGGGCAGGGGCACGGGTTACAAGGGTTGGGGCACGGGCCACACAGGCTGGGGCACGGGTCACAAGGGCTGGGGCACGGGCCACACAGGCTGGGGCACGGGTCACAAGGGCTGGGGCACAGGTCACATGGGCTGGGGCACGGTCACACGGGCTGGGGCACAGGTCACATGGGCTGGGGCACGGGTCACACGGGCTGGGGCACGGGTCACAAGGGCTGGGGCACGGGCCACAAAGGCTGGGGCACGGGTCACAAGGGCTGGGGCACGGGCCACACAGGCTGGAGCACGGGTCACAAGGGCTGGGGCACAGGTCACATGGGCTGGGGCACGGGTCACACGGGCTGGGGCACAGGTCACAGAGGCAGAGGTGCCAGGCCGCTCGCAGTATATCGGTAACATACGAGCGCTGTCTACTCGTGCTCGGCATTGCCAACGCGCGCTACACCAGTAGCTTCTAAGGACGCTCAGAAGCACGGCACCAGTGTGTCACACTTCGGGTTTGGGTAGCACACCAGAAGGCCGGCGAATAACGTAAATATCATGGAAGTGATCAGCGGGACTTCTACTGATGCACTCCATCGGGAGCTCTAAGAATGCGTCTGACCTCTGACCCGGCTGACCCGGCGCTCCACTGACCCGGCTTTCTCGGCGAATACTGGCCGGAGGTGCGCGAGTCGTGCACGGCGTTCCTCAGCTCGTCCATCAGGCCGCGCGGCATCTGCAGCTTGGGGTCGACGCCCGGTGAGAGGCCCTGGTGTGTCTCGGGCGAGCTGTCCTCCCTGTGTGGCGGGGGCGAACGCCTCAGGCTGATGCTCCGGAGCGGTACCAGCACGGCCCAGCGCGGAGACAGGCCAATACCGGGAGATTACAAGCCACATTAAACATGTTTAAGTGAGCATAATATATAAAGTCCTGTCAGATGACATAACTTGTGCTGAGTGCCTCCAAATCTAAACAGCATATTTCACTTAAGTTTAAGTCACCCTCGGCTTATTTTGAAACCCCCATGTTGTTCCCAACGTCAGACCACCTTAAAAACATATGCTGAGCGCAGCATGCCGAAACTACACTGGTATTGGCGCAAGACAAACCGCAAAACCAAACCAAACCAAACCAAACCCAAACCACTAGACTGTGGACACGTGAACTTTGTCATATGTCAGTTACCAGGCATCACCGCTTCTTGTTCCACGGAACAGCAGAAGACAGCAGTAGACGAGCTTGTGTTGCTGTTTGCGAGCAGCCCCGACTTACCGCGGCGTGCCCTGAGGCGGGGGCAGACCCGCGGAGCGCGGGCTGGGCTGAGGAGCCGGCGGCTCGCGGTACGGGATTTCCGGCCGGCTGCCTCGCGGCGGGCTCCGGGACTCCAACTGTGCCGGTCCGCCGTGAGGCGGCGCTGGCATCGGCGCCCGACCAGGTGGCCGTGGCGGGGACGACTGGTTTGCGGACGTAGGGCTGAGAACCATACAGATATATCAGCAAGGATGTAGGCCTGTTGTAAGTCAAGCCGCAATGTCATCTAGGAGGGGTTCGTTTGGGTCCTATTTCAGTATGCAAGGACAAGTCCCAGTATCTCCAGTTGCAGCGTTTGAGACAAGCTAAACCCAGATCGTGCATGTCACCACATGGAGGAATCCTAGATAACCATATTGGAGGGGGGGGAGGGGCACCGTGCCAGATGCCACCCCGCCAACTCACCGCGAGTTGAACGTTATGTCACCTCCCCAAATCGGCATTACTTTTGACATGCTTAAACAACCTGGGAAGCATCTGTCCCTTGCAACGTAAAATACTATGAAGCCCACAGTACAAGCCGGCATGAGCAGGCATGCAGTGTCAAACAACGCATAGAAAGAGCTCGAAACTACGGTGTCCGCTCACATGGGTATTCCGAGCGGCTGCAAACCAGGGTCCCGCTGATTGGGCGGCATCTGCTGCTGGTGCTGGTGCTGTTGCTGGTGCTGCTGATGGTGCTGGTGGTGGTGCCGACCCGAACTCCGCGGCGTCGCGTTCACCAGAATGTCTGGGTACTCCTGGCCAATGTCGTTGAAGTTCTGGTCCTGCGCGCCGCGGCGGCATCGGTCAGCGAAACGGCTGGCGTTCTAAACCGTGGCCTGGGTGTGAAACCGGGCCGCAGCCGCACAACCGCGGCCAAGACCGGCGGTGTCTTAACACAGAGTTCAATCGGGCATGCCGCTTCCCATCGTCATCAATATGAGGCTGGGCTCCGTCTGCTGGGACTCGCTAGCCGGACGGGTTTTGATGCTGTCCCGGCCGTCCCGTCAGGCCCCGTCGGGCCCTGTCAGGCCCCGTCAGGCCCCGGCCGGCCCGTCAGGCCCCGTCAGGACAAAGGAGCGTGGCTCAGCCGCCCGACGGCCGACTTCGCTCCCCCCTCCTCCCCTCCTCCTCCTTCAGCCTGCTGGCCGGCCCTCACCACGCTGCCGGCGCTGCTAGAGCTGGTGTTGCGCTTGAGGTGGGGCGGCTGGCGCTGCGAGAGGCTACCCTTGCTGGCCAGCTCTGCGCGACTGCGGCTGGCCGAGGTATCCAGCAGCTCGTGCGGCGGCACGGCCCGGTCCAGCTCCTCCTTAAGCTGCCGGCGGGGACGGCAGGGCTGTCACGAAGGGTTACCGGTTTGGGGTGTCACGGAGGGCAACCGGGCCGGGGCGTCACGGAATCCTGTCAGGCTGGGGCGCCATCGAGGGCTATCAGACCGGGGTGTCACCGAGGGCTACCAGGCTGGGGTGTCACCGAGGGCTATCAGACTGGGGGATCACCGAGGGCTTCCAGGCTGGGGTGTCGCTAAGGGCTACCAGGCCGGGGTGTCACCGAGGGCTGCCAGACAGGAGTATCACCGAGGGCTATCAGACTGGGGGATCACCGAAGGTTTCCAGGCTGGGGTGTCGCTAAGGGCTACCAGGCCGGGGCGTCATGGAGGAAGGTCAGACAGGGCGTTTTCGGCGTTTCACAGACAGAACGGATCAACAAGTGTGGTGGACAAACACCTAAATAGATGCGTCAAAGGCAATGCTTTCTGTGGAAGGATCCTTAGACGGGTTTGTCACAGATCACAATCTAGGCATGGGTGTTACCAACGTGTGATGAGAGCGCAAGTTTTGGAGGGAAGACTCTGGGACTTTCTTCCCGGCCTAGCCAAGTCAAAGAGTGCCATAACAGCCATTGAGAACGGGTTATTGTAATGTACGGACAATACAATCATAGCCTAGCGCAGCTGGCGTAAAATAATGCGAACTAGACAAACTAATGAATGCGTGCGGTTTTGAATAATAAAAAGAAAGAATATATGTGGTTCTGAATGGCATTAATAGCTGAACTGACGCTCATTAGCAACCGATGTAAACAGATGCACCACTGTGCAAGTTTTATTACGTTTTGTTTAAGACTACGTAAATTCCTCGCAATGCCTAAAATGAAATGATCAAGCCTAGAGCGTGGAGACCTCGGTCAAAGTCTGCTGCCGGAAAGCGGCGTGCCCAGCTGCTGCGGCGCGCGGCCACTGACCCGACTATCGCCGGAGCGACGCGCCGGCCGCTCGCCGACCGGCGGCGGCGCCTCCGCGTCCGACAGCTCAGACGTGTCGAGTCGCTCGAGCCGCGGCCGCGGCGGCGAGGCGCGTCGCGGCGGCCCAGCGGCCCAGCGGCGCCGGCAGCTGCACGGCCAGGCCGGCGCTCCGCTGCGTCTCCGCCAGATGCCGCTCCAGCAGCTGCAGCCGCTCGCTGAGCAGCTGCACGGCGCGCTCGTACTCGCGCTCGCGCCCGGCCTGGCGCTCCTCGCGCTGCAGCATGCCCGCCTCGCGCCGCTGGAACTCGCCGATCAGACGCTTGGCCTTCTGGTACTTGCGCTCCAGCTGCTCGGACAGCTGCCGCTGGGCCAGCAGCGTGTTGTGGTGGTTGGCCGCCTCGAGCCGGGCGGCCTCCAGACTCTGTTCGCAGCGCGACAGCTGGTCCCGCGCCTCCGCCAGCTGACGCCGCTCCTCCTGCGAGGCGGACAGCAGCGCCTCCAGCTCGCCGATCTGTACCAGTCAGACGGCACAGGTCAATAACGGGGTTCATCAGAGGGCAGAGGTCACTGGCAGAGGTCGTCAGCGGGCACAGAAAAGAGTCAAGGCCATAGGCAACGATGTGAGGTCAGGGTCAGGTGTCAGAGACAAAGGTTCCGGCTTACAATCAGAGGTCACGGCCAGGGAATCTCAGTGAAAGGTCATGACCGCAGGTCAAGGTTAGAGCGCCGGTCACGACTGAAGACCACAACAGAAGGCGACAAGCAAAGGCCATAGCCATGCCTCATGGTCAAAAGTTGGTAGGGTTAACAGCCCCTAGCCTCATAGCCAAATCGATGGGCTAACTGATGGTTAAGCACGATCATATACGAAAAACACTAAGAAACTTTTGTTGAACGTGTACCATGTTGATATTTTTAACGTAACGTCCACAAACATTTCAAAAATCCTAAACTGACTATATCTTCGAATGGAGCAGCTTACCCTGATTTTTAGCTTTGATATCTCTGATTCAAACTTGTGATGTTTGTCCAAAGCCTGCAAAGATTCATACACAGCTGTTAAACACATGCACTGACGAATCACTGTTAAATCATGTTATCGCATATAAATATAAATCACATATCACACATAAATCGCTGTTAAACACATGCACTGACAAAACAAACACTGACGAATCGACCCAGTCAACCCTGCCCCTACTGCATTCACAACCAAATGACGCAACCCTGTCATACATCGAGGTGGATGCGGATAACCTTCAAAGAGACGACAGACTGTGCCGCTTAAAGAAGCTGCACAATCTTGCACCAAAATCACTTGCGCTTGCACATCAATCAATCACAGTCTGGCAGCAGTCCAGCGTCTGTCCGCTGGTTTTTCCGTCGGCCTTGACCCCGGACCCACCTGCTGCAGTTTGCCCTGTAACTCCAGCTCCGCGGCGCTGGGCTCCGGTACCGCCTCGGGCGGCGGCGCGGGCGCGGCGACCTCTGTGACCTCCGCCTCGGCCGCGGGCGTTGCTTCACGGTTGGTCGCCTCCTGACGGACCGGGGTCGAACAGGTCATAGGTGAAGGCACTCGGGACGCTGAGGGCAACGCTGGTTGAGTCCGCGGCAGGGACAATGAGAGCATGATCTAATCCGGCGACGACGGAGACAATTAGTGAACACCGAGTGAAACATAATTGCCAGCGGTCTTTCACTCACTGACTGACTAGCCAAACGTGAAGTCGACGGTCCATTGGAGTTTCAAGCCATACAGTGGCAAATCATGCAGTAATTCTTACTATCCTCTATGCAAAAGGGGCGGCTTGCGCCAAACTGATTCAACATGGGCACACACATGTGAAATGGCTATGACTGCGACACACGTTTTGATTTGACAATGGACACGATTCTCTATAGCGCTAAACCACAAGAGGTGTAATCATTGCTAGCGAATAGATTAGTAGTCGATCGATCCGATTAATCAATTGATGGTTAATGCCACCCATCCACCCACCAGCAGGGGAGGGGGGGGGGGGGGGCGATTGACGGCAACATCACAGTAACTGGCTGCCTCTCTCTGCGAAGGAGAGCACCACTCACGCATTTGCCAGCTAATCCCACAAATGTTTCCAACGCCAGCCACCCGATTGAGCCCAGTCCCCGCAAATCACATCCTGGACGCCTGGCCAGTGTCCGTGTGAGGGTTCGGACTGGGTCACGGGGGCGTGACCTCGGACCTGATAGGACGGAGGCGGCGTCTGGCCCTGCTTGATCTGCTCCAGCAGGCGCTGTTGCTGGTCGAAGTCGCGCTGCAGCGCCTTCTGTCGGTCCTCGCGGTCCTTGTCGGCCCGCAGCGACTGCCTGATCAGCTGGGCCACCTACCGGGGGTCACATCGAGGTCACCTCCTGGTCTGAGGATGTCTTTAACGGCCACATTTGTCGTGGAATGTCAAAACGCATTCCTCCAGGCATGTGGTGAGGCGTCGTGCCCAGACCACCTCCTCATGGCCTTATCAAGTGTTAAAAGCCAGATTTGACATTTTCGGTGCGACACAGTAGCAAACCAAAGGGCACAAGGAGAGTATGTTTCCTATCGGATGTCATGCACCGTCCCACTGCGTGTCACGTGTCCCCTAGCGGGTGTGGCCCGTACCTCGCTGTTCTCGGGGTCCGTCTCCCGGCCGATCATGAACTTGACGTGACCCGAGGCGTTGCGCAGCACGGAGGCGGCGTACGCCTGCGTCACACCCACCAGGGATTTGCCGTCCACCTCGATGATCTGGTCATTGACCTGCCGGCGAGCACAGCGTCAGACACGGCGACTCGAGGCACGAGGCGACTCGAGTCGCGACTCCGCAACGACGCTGTGGTGTCACGCGCTGTCCGCCTGCGGCGCCGTGCTGTGCCGAAGTCAGGCCGCGGGACTGTGGTTGGCATCACTGAATCACCCCGGCTCTGAACCTGAATCACCCGGGCTCTGAACAGACCACCCTTGCCACCTTGCAGCTGCCAATGAGGCAAGCCTCAAGTTACAAACGAAATATCTCGGCCATTTAAGAAAAGTCTGTTTAAGATGAGCGAACGTCACCATAGCTCGCGTGAATACTAACGAGATATCTTCTCGTCTTCCATTTCATATGCTATATAAAAACCAAACAGTAAAACAACAAAGAAACAAAATACGGAGACCTGACGCAGAAGAAAAAAACTTACATTAGAACGCCAATACCGACGCTACAAAGACAAAAGAGAGTGAATGTCGCAGCACCGCCGTAGCAGCGGTTGCCCGGCAGCAGTAGCCCGCTGCGCTGACCTGTATGCGGCCGTCCTTGTGAGCTGCACCGCCCTCTGTGATGGTCTTGACGAAGATGCCGAGCTTCTCCAGCCCAGCGTCAGCGCCCACGCCCATACCGATGATGCTGAGGCCCAGACCCTCGGCGCCCTTGTCAAACTCCACCTCGAACACGTTCATCTTCTCCACGCCTGCGCCACAGGGACGGCCGGTCAGGCGGGATGTTTAAGGGTTAAGAGGGCGCACGGGTGACAGCCTACGGTGTCGGCCTCATTATGAGCACGCTTGGTGAGCTGTCACGTAACGTTACGCATTGGCAGCACGCCAGGGAGAGCAGGAGGAGGGCGGGACGATGTCGGCAGGAGGCCATCCTACCGTAGACTGCTTGGAGAGAGAGAGAGAGAGAGAGAGAGAGAGAGAGAGAGAGAGAGAGAGAGAGAGAGAGAGAGAGAGAGAGAGAGGAGAGAGAGAGAGAGAGAGAGAGAGAGAGAGAGAGAGGAGAGAGAGAGAGAGAGAGAGAGAGAGAGAGAGAGAGAGAGCAGAGACAGAGACAGAGACAGAGACAGAGACAGAGACAGAGACAGAGACAGAGACAGAGACAGATGACAGAGACAGAGACAGAGACAGAGACAGAGACAGAGACAGAGACAGAGACAGAGACAGAGACAGAGAGCCAGAGACAGAGACAGAGACAGAGACAGAGACAGAGACAGAGACAGAGACAGAGACAGAGACAGAGACAGAGACAGAGACAGAGACAGAGACAGAGACAGAGACAGAGACAGAGACAGATGACAGAGACAGAGACAGAGACAGAGACAGAGACAGAGACAGAGACAGAGACAGAGACAGAGACAGAGACAGAGACAGAGACAGAGACAGAGACAGAGACAGAGACAGAGACTGAGACAGAGACTGAGACAGAGACAGAGACAGAGACGGAGACGGAGACAGAGACGGAGACAAGAGACAGAGACAGAGACAGAGACAGAGACAGAGACAGAGACAGAGACAGAGACAGAGACAGAGACAGAGACAGAGACAGAGACAGAGACAGAGACAGAGACAGAGACAGAGACAGAAGACAGAGACAGAGACAGAGACAGAGACAGAGACAGAGACAGAGACAGAGACAGAGACAGAGACGAGACGACAGAGACGGAGACTGAGACGGAGACGGAGACGGAGACGGAGACGGAGACGGAGACGGAGACGGAGACGGAGACGGAGACGAGACGGAGACGGAGACGGAGACGGAGACGGAGAGAGAGAGAGAGAGAGAGAGAGAGAGAGAGAGAGAGAGAGAGAGAGAGAGAGAGAGAGAGAGAGAGAGAGAGAGAGAGAGGAGAGAGAGATAGAGAGAGAGAGAGAGAACGCGGTACTCAGCACAGCCACGATGACGGATGTTGTGTTAACGTCAAATGGCCGAGCAGCCCACGTTTGAATTTCGCTGTGATTCAGGACTGCTTTCAATGTCGTATGAAATGCAAAACAGGACGATCCATTTTTTCGCGTCACGACATCAGCAGCTGGTCTCCAAATTTGGGTTACTGACGGTATCGAAGATCACTACCAATAAATCACATGACGGGTAAACTCACGTTTCTCCAGCTCGTACTCCGCAGAGGCGGCCACTGGATCCACGTCCTCGTTCCTCCGGTCGTATTCGACGGACGTGAAGGTGCTGTAGACCTGTATACAGATGAGGTCAGAAACGATGAATGACTTTAAATCGCAGGGGCCACAGCGAGTTCTGCACGCCGTTGTATTTCAAAAGAGCTAAGGGGATAATAGATCAAGCATTTCGCTTTGCACTCACGGTGATTTACGTAACCATTTGGACAGAGCACGCTCGGCTCAACACTAAGCCCGGCTCCGGGTGGGGGGGGGGGGGGGGAGGAGGGGGAGAGAGCGGCAGGACGCACCCGCACGGGGTCGCGGCTGAAGCAGACTCTGGTGGGCGGCTTGTAAGCGGCGGTGGCTACCGGCTCCTCCTGGTCGGCGGCCGGAAGCGGCGGCCCGTCCTCCCAGTAGTGGCCGTCCTCCAGGAAATGGACGCCGTCCTCCACCAGCACCTGACGGCCCGGGTAGCCGGTCACCGACGGTTGTGGTTACACTCCATCGGGGGAGACAGGGGCGTCACCGAACTCACAGCAGACCACGGTCACCTACCTGTGTGATTCCATTTAGTCTATGCAAGGTGAGCTAAAAAAAGCAGTTTTCAAACTAAATCAGCCGTGGGGAGCAAAGATCTCACCATTTTACCTGGCAACTAGCGGCACGAAACCGCATTTTAAAAAAACACTCATCCTGACCGCGCCAAATAGCTCATGAAGCCTCGGCAAAAGTCGCCGGGTTCATTTAACGCCCACAAGCTCAAAACTCATAAAGCTTGTCCTTTGCATTGTCAGTGTTAGTTCGCTGTTGATGACTGACCTCTTCGAAGTAGGCCACCGGAGGGGAGTCATCGTCGTAGATGACGTCCACGACCAGGTCATCGGTCACGAGACGCTCGCTTCTGATTCCAGCCGGACCGGCGTTGCAAATCAGTGACTGGCTGCCGTTCTGGTCCTCTGTCTCCCATTGGTCCATATTTGGAGCCCTCTCCGGTGATTGGTCAACGTCGTCGGCGGTGGCGGGTGATTGCACGTCCGGCTGTAGTCTGTCCGCTATGTGAGGCGCGTTCAGAATTCGCTCCGCCTCCAGCGCCTGAGCATCCGAGAGCAGTTCCTTCGATCTGGGGACGAGAAGATCGTTTTGCGGTCGCTGAACATGAGAACACAATCAGTCTGCAGCCATTTGCGATTCTTCGAGTCATGACGATAGTCCATAGACTTCTATGATGCAAAAGTATCGATACCTAGACCGATAATGTTTGCAAGCTGGCCTAGCAATATAGCATATACCTGTGCCGGTATAAAATGAATTAATCCCGCAAACACTGATGCAGCATACGCAGAGTGGGTCCGACCAGCTCATGCCGTGACCCCGAGCCTTGGGCGCCTGGCAGACTTACCGGTCTTTTCTCTGAAGGATTCTGTGGGGCAGGGAAGACACTGGTTAGTACGGAGTGCACAGGTGCCGACGCCCGCAGGCTGTCTCGAGGATCAACCCGTGGTGGCTGTTAGGCACATGCGACCCACTGGGCATCATTCCAATAGAGTCAAAGGATTGCGTTTGCCCATGCAAGAAGCCGGCGGGGTTTACGGGCCCACGATGCGCAGCAGTTGGAGCGAGGATAGGTCATATATAGGTCATAGGCCAGATAGGTCATAGGCCAGAGATCATTCATGAAACACCTAACGTAGGTTGGGTTAGGCGATATCGGGTGGAAACAGAACACGGATTGGTTATAAGATGGTTCTATTTCAGCAGCTAAAGCGGCAGGCGTTTCTCGCATTCACGAAACGTGTTAGAGATCAGTTGGAACACCAGTTGTAGATCGAAACATGCCCGTAAGGCGACAAGCCATCGTTAAAAATGTTATCCGTATCACCGACGCAGGCTGGGCCGTGCCACCAACCGTGAGCTGAGGAACTGGTCGGCCTCCGCTAGCGTCATCGACTCGGGGTCCCCGGACTCCCAGGCCTCCTCCAGCGCCACCGGCGACGAGTCGAACTGAAACAACATCCGAAACAGCGCTGCCAGGCCGAGTGGCGGGGAGGCCGCGCCAAATCACCCCGGTCCATCGCCCGGTGTTCCACTCACGGATCGCTGCGACACGCACTGTCAATGACTCGAAACCAAGTGGCAAATATCCTTGGGTTGCGTGTGCTCATGGCCGGCCAGGTCAGTAAGCAGTTGAAAGTAAGGGTAGACCCGTCTTATTAGTTCTCGTCAGCACGCGGAGGAACTTTTGTATCTTAGTGGAAGGGCTTTGGCCCCTGTGCTGGAGAAGACTTGTCCCCCGTCCCCAGCAAAGTCCTTGACGCTCCGCTCACGTTTCAGACACAGACCGCCGCATTGGGCTTTCTCACATCCGCCTGGGGCACACAAAGACCGACCCTGGTGGGCAGACGGCTCAGTGACAGCGCAGGCGGCTCACCGTGCGTTACACAACGAGACGCTTCACCACCTCTCACCTGCATGTGCTCCGTGTCGGCGCTGGTGACCGTCTCGTCATACATCGCCGTCCCCTGCGGCCAGCCCCACGCCGCGTCGGCCGGACAGGGCGCCGGTGGCGGCGCCTCCTCGGCCAGCGGCGGCGGCAGCGGTGGCGCCTCTTCGGCCGGCGGCGGCGGCGGAGGCGGTGGCGGCGGCGGCTCCGGTGAGTCCTCGCGGCCCGGGCCGGCCACTAGGCGCTCCAGCTGCAGCAGCGCTGCCGACTCCACGTCCCGCGACGGCACCTGGTCCAGCGATTCATCTGACGCCGAGCTCGACTCGTGCGCTGCCGGCAGCGGTGGCGGCGGCGGCGGCGGCGGCGGTGGTGAGGGCGCCGCCGGCCGGGGCTCCGCGGTCGTCGGTGGAGCGCGCAGACTCTCCGGCTTGGGCGGCCGGGCCGGCGCCGCCGCCGCCGGGAAGAGGCGGGGCGTCGGCACCTGCTCCATCTCATGCTCCAGCTCCAGCTCCAGTCCCAGCCAGCGGCGCGCCTCGCTTGCAGGCGTGCCCGCCGGCGAGAGCGGGCCCATACCGTCGGAGGAGCCCCGGCGCGCCGCCCCGGACGCGTCCGGAGACAGCGCGCCCGGTGAATGGCCGGCTCTGTCAGAGGCCGGCGACTGAGGCTCGCACGGCGCCGGCGGCGGCTGGACGGCCCCCTGCGCCGGCAGCTGTCTGCGCTCCATGTGCGGCTGTGGGGGCGATGTCTTGTGCACCGGTTTGGAAGCGCGGTCAGCTATGAACACGTCATCTGACATCAGCTGGGATCTGACGTGCACAGGTGTTTGGGGCGAGGTCACCTCCTGCACCGGCTTGTGCCCGCGCTCCACCTTTGGCTGTGGCGATGTGGGATCTTGCGCTGGCTTGTGACTGCGGTCCACACGCGGCTGCGGTGGCGATGTATCCTGGGCTGACTTGAAACTTCGGTCCACGTACGGCTTCTCCGCCGGCCGCACGTGCGTGCGGGCTGTAACGGACCGTGGAATTCACGGTCATGTTGGGGATTATGAGTTGCGGAGTTCCACAGCATGTGTTCCGACCACATGGCACCGTATACTAAGCTCCAAGTAATGCAACCAATGGCATTCATTGCGTCACATTACGTGTACAGGAAGGTCAGCACATTAGCTGGCCGAAAAAAGCGGTCGATCGCGATGAGGCATCGCCAAACATTACCAAATTCTGCGCGGCGTTCTCAAGGCGGCGAGAGTGGTACAGCGAAGAATGTCATTTTGAGGATATCTAAGCATGCTATCGGGAAGATGATCTCTAGAAATACCATTCCTTCAGCGAGCCGCGCGGTTACCGCATGTAATCCCGAGGCCCGGCCACTAGCTGAATGTTAATCGGTGGCAAAATCCCGATCTAGGTTATTTATGCATTTTTTGACGTTAAACACTGAAGGATTGCGGATGGACGTTGGGCTTTTGAGATGTTTTAGCATTGGCCGCGTGGAACATAAAGCCGATAACGTTTAAAAAATGTCGCACAGCTTTAGCAATGAAGAGGCAGATGTCTTCCGCGGTCGAACACATAACTACCTGCCGCCGAGCGGAGGAAAGGCGGCGACTGACAAAGTGGTTAGTAGCTATCGGCTGAGAGAGTGCTAGTGACAGGCGGCCTCGGGGCGGGCGGCCACTTACACCTCGGCAGACAACTACGTCCTTGCCACTTGCGGCTAATTGCATGACTTTCATCACCTGGAAGGACAACAGCCTTCAGCTAAGCACGCTACTGCGCAAGGGCGAGGAGATGACTATGCTATATTTGTCCACGTGTGAGGTTTCCGACGCAACAGCAGACATATGCGGCCGCCCGGCCGGACCGCTTATTGTGATCGCGTGGACGATCACCTACTGAGCAGTCGGTCACCCCCGCTGACAGCTGCTTGTGACTGATAGGACAGCTGTCCGTGACCGAGCGAACAGCTGCCTGTGACGGCGCGGACAGCTGCCCGTGATCGGGCGGACAGCTGCCCATGACCGAGCGGACAGCTGCCCATGACCGAGCGGACAGCTGCCGTGACCGAGCGGACAGCTGCCCGTGACCGAGCGGACAGCTGCCCGTGACCGAGCGGACAGCTGCCGTGACCGAGCGGACAGCTGCCCGTGACCGAGCGGACAGCTGTCCGTGACCGAGCAGACAGCTGCCCGTCACCGAGCGGACAGCTGCCGCGATCGGGCGCGGCACCCGGCGCCTCCGGACCATCTGACCTGCTGGCGAGTCGGCGGCGCCGTTCCATGGCTCGGAGAGGCGCCGGTCGGGCTCCGCGTCGCGCTCCCCGCGCCGCCCGGTGAAGTGCAGGATCCAGTTCCGCTGCCGGTTAACCAGCTCGCGGCTGGAGAGGGGCCGCTTCTCGGCGGCGCCGGGCGAGGTCAGGTCGTCGGCGCAGCTGGGGCCGCGGGTGGGGACCTCGTCCAGGCCGCGGCCGACGGCCGGGGGCCCACTGACCGGCCGGCCGCCGGCGCCGCATCCGCTCTTGGTTAGCGGGTCGCGCAGCAGCGCCACGCCGTCCGTCTCGGAGTCTGGCGAGAGGCCGTCGCTCGCGCGCTCGCGCTCCTTGCAGCCGCCGTTGGCCGTCCGGTCGCGGCCCTGCAGCGTGCCGTTTGCGGTCGCGTGAGAGCGGCCACGGGGCGTGTGGCCGGCGCGCGCGGGCCGGCCGAGCGGCGAACGGTAGCAGGCGCCCGGCGGCGGCTCGGACACGCCCCGGTCGGGCCGCGCGCCGCCGTCGCTCAGCCGGCGGCACTCGGCCGGCGGCGACGGTGAGCGCGAGCCGGCCAGCCGCGACGCCGCCGACGCCGAGCGCGACGCGGCGCCGCACAGCGACGTCGGCCGCGAACGCTCCTTGGCGCTCTGGCGTCGCTCCACCGGCCGCTCGGCCATGCTCTCGAACATGGCGCGCGCGCTGTGGAAGCGCGCCAGGTGGCTCTCGGAGCGGACGAGCGGAGCGTCGCGCTCCAGGCTCCTGTCGCGCCGGCGCGGCGAGCTGTCCGCCGTCTGGCCGCCGCTCCGCTGGAACAGCGTCGCCATCTCCGTCACCTTGCGCGAGCCGCCGCTGCCGCTGCTGCTGCTGGAGCTCGTGGAGGTGGCCGTGGCGCGCCATTCCTCGCCGCGGCTCACCTGCGAAGGAGCGCGGGGTTAGTGACGTCATGTCGGGACGGCACCGCTGCGGCCAAATGTGACGCATGCGTTGGAAGATGAGCACGGCACGTGGTTGGTGGGGCTCTCGTAAACAACATGTGGTGCACAGATCACCCGATCACCAGATCGCCAGATGAGGTATCCAGGTCACCAAAATGCATAGCTAACCCGAATTTCATTCATTTCTGGTACGACGAATGGCTGAGATAGCGCATGTTCTCGTGCATAATCGGATGACAATGTGATCTATCAAGAATATGCACGACCTATTGCAACAATGAGAACAATGAAACGAGTTGAATCTCGTAGTACAAAGCAACTGAAGGACGTATAACTGTAATAGACTTGTTTTGAGATCATCAAGTAGGTCTATCATACCCCTCCCCCCTCGTTCTGTCAAGGATGGGGACAAATGATGAGACAGCCCTGATTGTTCAAGGGCGAGATAATTGGTCAAACGAATTCCTTTCGGGAGCTTCTTTTGACGCTTGTGAAGAGTAAAGGTCAACGTGTTGCTCAAACTCAACCGGAAATATGGTGATAAGGATAATTCATAACAGCATACAGTAACGTTTCACAAATCTAGCACCTGAACCGCATATCACTCATCAACATAATCAACAATATCCGCATATCGGCAATAGGGTCGCAAGAGGTCGCTCCAAGCCCCTAGCAATCGTTACCACCGATCACCACCAAAGGGCCAACACGCCTGCCTCGCTGCCCCGCTGCCTGAGGCTGGGACCACCGTCGTCAGGTGAGTGATACCCGACTGCGGAAGTCACCAGGGCCGCCATCACTCGGACCAGATCAAAACAAACACCAGCAGCGGCGCAGTCAGCCAACACTCGGCCGGTGTCAGTCCCCCACAATGGCATTCTGCGCTTCGCATTCGCCCGGCCGGCCGCCCTCCCTTCCCGTGAGCTGCCTCCGCGCCTGGGCGAGCGGCGCGCGGGCCGCAGGTGCTGCCACCTGTCGGGCCGGTGCTCGGCGCCACCGCCGCTGGCGTGCCGTTCCTCAGCGGCTGTCAGGCACTGTTAGCGCGCGTGGCGGCCAGCGGCCGGCGGCCGGGGGCGGGCGGCGGTGACCAGGCGGCCGGACTGGTACCGCAGGAGACGCCCCAGACCACGCGACAGGGATCGTCTGCAGCGGACCGCAACGGTCGGCCAAGGGAGCAGTCGAATCACGTGACGCCAATCAGCCTCGCCTTGGTCCACCCGACGGGTACCCTCAAGTGAAGCCCAGACAATGTGGAGAGTCGTCCGCCATTCTTTCCTCATTTACGCTTCATCGTAAGGCCGCAACATCCCGTTGCCAAGAAGTGCATAATGACAAGTTGCATGCATCAGCCATCAGAAGGCCTAGCAGCTCCCTTCCCCCGCTCGAGCGTCCACACAAACCGCGAAAAGTGCGCGGAAGTCTCGGTGGCGGAGGATTCTCAAATGCGATGGTATTGCCCCACCGTTCTTCACCGCCCTTCATCTCATGGCAGTGAAATTACGAATACTGTCCCAGAGGGCTCCAATCCTAACCAATCCAAACCACACCAAAAATACCAGGAATATTCCATTACGCCACCTGACGCTTCTTGCAGCTCCACCCTATCAAAAAATGGCATGGGATAGAGATCCAACGCATCGCACCGAGGAAAAACCGGTTACATTCAGGAAACTGACAGCAGTCCAGCGAATCAGGGCGCAAGGTGAGCGCAAGGTGAGCGCAAGATGAGCACAAGGTGAGCGCAAGATGAGCACAAGGTGAGCGCAAGGTGAGCGCATGGTGAGCGCATGGTGAGCACAAGGTGAGCACAAGGTGAGCGCATGGTGAGCGCAAGATGAGCACAAGATAAGCGCATGGTGAGCACAAGGTGAGCACAAGGTGAGCACAAGGTGAGCGCAAGGTGAGTGCATGGTGACCGCAAGGTGAGCGCATGGTGAGCGCATGGTGAGGTCGGACACTGGAACTGCCCAGTAAGAACCACCGAGGCTGGTGTGCAGTGACGAATCAGGCATACCAAGCTGATCGCATGACCTGACGTGGAGTCATCATAACAAAATGGCAGACTAGAAAAGAATGTCCACTTCCAGCATCGCATACTTTCGCGAGCGACCAGGGCATCGTCTGAAGCGGGCGGGTACGGCAGAAGTCATACGAGAATGAGAGCAAATGGAGCCTGAGCAGAACACAGCAACCGAGCCCGCCCGATCTACATAGAGACACAACGGCTGAAAAATTATCAGAAGAACGTCCCCAGGCACATGCAGAACGCACAACCGAGCACGCGGCAACTGCGACGTGCAACTCAGCAAACCGCGCATCCGGAAAACTTCACCATTCGTTCGAGCAGCGTAGCTCCGCCCTCGAACGTGCGTCGGACTTTTGGACACCAGCAGCCGTGCGTGACCGCACGCGTCTGTTGTCTGCCCCAGTGGCCTGGGGTGCCGCCTGGGGCCAAGCGCGGCGTTTGCGTCGCTCCCCGATCTCTGATGCCGGACTTCATTCAGTACCCCGACCAGCACCAGCAGGCGTCCCACGCATGATTGTCGGAATCGAACAAAAAAGGCGGCGGAGGCGACAGGTGAGTGTAGTCCGGCGCCGTTGTTGCGGGATGACTCGGCAGGCGGGAGATGACTCTCTGCCCGGCCGTGTCAAACGCGCCGCAGAGCGGTGCTCTGAGTGACTCACCGCACCATCAGCTCGGAGGTACCGCCACCACACAATGGGGAAAGTGAAGTGAGCCGTGCTGCCTCGCAGACGGCCGACGCAATTGTGCACGGTCGTGCTTGCCTCAGCGGGGCTCCCCGGCACACACTGCACGTGCAAGCGTATGCAGATCTGCTCCTGGGATCTGATATACCGGGTGGCGGGCGCCGTTGCGAGGGCGGACGCTCAACAGGGCTCCCCGGCACACGGCGCACGTGCCAGCGTGTGCAGACCTGCTCCTGGAGTCTGGTATACCGGGTGGCAGACGCTCAGCGGGGCTCCCTGCACACGGCGCACGTGCCAGCGTGTGCAGACCTGCTCCTGGAGTCTGGTATACCGGGTGGCAGACGCTCAGCGGGGCTCCCCGGCACACGGCGCACGTGCCAGCGTATGCAGACATGCTCCTGGGGTCTGGTATACCGGGTGGCAGACGCTCAGCGGGGCTCCCCGGCACACGGCGCACGTGCCAGCGTGTGCAGACTTGCTCCTGGGGTCTTCTATACTGCCGCGGGTGCCGCCACGAGAAGCAGACGCTTTCGTGGAGGCTGACCCGCCCCGACCGGCGGGCTTGGTTAATTGCTACGTGGCCTCACACCTGCGACCTCAATTATGTGGCTCGATTTTTCACGAGCCGAGGTGTAGGAGGCGCATTCTTTAAGAAACGCATGGGAAAACAACAGGCCGTGACCTCAGAGAACAGCGTCGTGTTATCTGAAACTACTGAAACGCTTCGGCTGGACCTGTGAGACATCCGACGTTTTGTAGGAGAATGTAGACCGGAGTGAGAAGTTAAGTGGTTTGGACGATTGTTTTTTTCAAAGATTTCTAGATCAAAAGCTGTAAGGGTTAATTGCACCTCCCTGGTTTCCCGAAAGTGTGAGCATTGCAATGACCTTCAGACGCGATCATCGATAAATGCAATATTTACGCCGGAGACTGGCGTTATGAAATAACCTGACTGCATAAGCATTGTGTATTTGTAATATTTCGTCACGAAACAAAAGCTGATACTGAGACTTTTGATTTCCACTATCACTGAACCAGCACTGGCCGTGGCTTCTCCGTAGCAGCGCCCCTGCACCTGACACAGGCCCGGCTTGCCCGCGCAAGCTGCTTCTCCCCGTTCGATGACTGCCGCCAACCCAACCAGCACTCGCTTCAGCTTTCGCAGCGTTGTTGGGGCGGCCCTTCGGACCCCTGGGCTCGCCATCCACCGGACCACCGGACCGCCGGACCACCTGGACCACCAGACCACCGGACCACCGGACCACCGGACTACCGGACCACCGGACCACCTGGACCACCGGACCACCTGGACCACCGGACCACCGGACCACCTGGACCACCGGACCACCTGGACCACCTGGACCGCCGGACCTCCAAGTCCAGCGGCGACGGGCGGCATGCAGGCCGTGTGAAGGACGTGGGAGGGCTGATGCCGCGGTCGCCGAGCCTCTCTGGCAGCCTGGACCGCACGGCGAGGGTGGTGTGCTCGGCCGTACCATCTTGTTACCTGTGCTGCCAGTTCGCTGCAGGCGCGCGTACTCAAGGCTGACGCTAACCCCGAGGTAGCAGCCAGCAGGTCTCAACAGCGACCGCCTCGCTCTAAGGTAGCAGCCAGCAGCTTTGATCAGCAACCATCTCGCTCTGAAGTAGCAGCCAGCAGGTCTCACCAGCGACCACCTCGTTCTAACGTAGCAGCCAGCGGCTTTGATCAGCGACCATCTCGCTCTGAAGTAGCAGCCAGCAGGTCTCACTGGTGACCGCCTCGCTCTTAAGTAGCAGCCCGCAGCTTTGATCAGCGACCATCTCGTTCTGAAGTAGCAGCCAGCAGGTCTCACTGGTGACCGCCTCGCTCTAAAGTAGCAGCCAGCAGGTCTCACTGGTGACCGTCTCGCTCTAAGGTAGCAGCCAGCAGGTCTCACTGGTGACCGTCTCGCTCTAAGGTAGCAGTCAGCAGACCTGACCGAAGACCGTCCCGTCCGCGCCAAACTAAAGGGTCATGATTTGACCTTTCACAATGGCGGCCCAGCGCATCGCCTTTTTTCCCGCCTCGGACTCGGCACGTACCGGTCACATCAGGGTTGCGTGCTGCCCAGTACCGTTCATTTGGCTTATTAGCGTTTGTTTCAGCGATAACCATTTTCACCAGTCCAAATTACAGTCTTTTTACTCCACCCACCCGGTCTAGGAGCCACTGGCAGAAAAGGATCCGGTGCGCCTTGTGCCTGAGAGTGAGAGGCACGACAGCGTCTGGTTTGTAGAGGCACCTTAAC